GAGTTCAGAGATTATACTTTGTGCGGTGCTTTTTTCTAACAATTTCACCCCTTTTTTATAAAACCAAAAGTCTTGAATCACCATTTCTTCATTCTTAAAATACATGTATAGCAGCCAGTGATAAATAAAGCGTTCAGTAATGACACTTTGTGTGGTACCCCGTTTGATATATCCAATTCAATTTATTTCTGTACTGGTACATATATTATCAGTACCCTCTACCAGGGCGATACATTGATTTTTCACAGATATTCACAGATATGTCTCTAGATAAATAGACAGTCATTTTGGTCTGATGTCAGCAAGAAATGTCCACAATAGTAACTGCGACCCTGGTAGAGGGTATATTATCAGGGCTTTGTACAATAAAATATGATTAGACTATGATTGGTGAATTACCATTCTGTTATTGTTATTGGTCTTTGGATTACCAGTATGTAAATGCGAAAAGATCTCTTTATATAATGGACAGATGTATTAGTTACACTACTTATAAAAAATATTCTCACTAAACGGTAAAAAATATAAATCCAGAGAACTAAAAGAGAAAATATTCTAAAACAAAGTGCTGTCGACGCGTTACCACCTTAATTGTCCTAGCTACTGTGTACATGTTTTCAGGTATTTTGTGACTCTGTCTTAAATTTAAAATAAGCCTGGTGTACAGCGCAAAAAATGGAATCTGTTTCAACTGTTTTTTTTTTTTACTCCCTCTCACACTCTTTTCTTTTGCAAATACACAGTCAACAAAATAATAATAAAACCTAAATTGAACATATAATTAAATAAATTCCTTATTTTATTCGCGATCCTCTTTGGTTGTTATTTCCAGTTTTTGCAAATATCAAATAACATGACAATCTAATTTGCCCGCATTGCACTCCGATGACTGCTCCCTTCTTTACTTTGTTCGCTTTTCCCCTTGATTCTGACCAAATATATCATGTTTCTTTTTTAGTCACGATATCTGTTTTCTAGTTCGGCCACTTTTATAATAAACTTTGACCGGAATCATCCGTCACCCTGACAGTGATGGGTTTAATTAAGTATTTAAAAGTTTAAAGCAGTGATCCGAATATAACGGGTCTAGGTCAGTGGTACATTAGAGTTTTAAAACAATCGAACAATCATGTACTTATAATTACCTGTTTGTTTTCGGAACAATACCTGTTTGTCCCTTAAAGTAACAGCATGGCAGGTCCTTGACTCTCCTATAAAGGTTTTTTTGTGCGTGGATGGACGAAAACTATGTCGTTTGTGACATAAAACTATGTCGTGTGTGACAAATAAAAAGCGCAAATTAAGTTGCGTTAATCAGCCAGCACCGAGATAATATAAATCTTTGGATTTGACCGTACATGAATGAAATCACAACTTTTATCGCTAGCCGATGTATGGTGTCACATGGGGAAATCAGTTTTTAGTTAATCTACTGTAATATATTTAGTTTTTAATACGAGTTATATCACACTTAAGCATTAGAGACTGCTGGAAACTAAACTCCGTCATCTTAAAATATACCTTCGTTTTTTTATTTCAAATTTCAACTGATTTCAAGTGAAAAACCCAGTGTGTCCTGTGTCACACACGGCGGGAGTAGGAGGTTTATCCTCTACCAGGGCCAAAGAGAGATGTTTCACTGGATATTCACAGATATTTCTCTGGATAATTTTCTGCACATTCCTGCACTATGACCATTTTAGCGCCTCATTTCTCTTGAAGAGAATAGGTTGTGTATCAAAAGAATTCAAGATTAAAAATAATCAGCAAAATGCGTGGCCTTAAGGTGATGATGTGCTGTAACGTATCGCAGGTGGACTAGGTAAATACTGTGAAAGAAATCAACGGACCGCGGTTTGTTCTTCCGGTCACCGTGGCGTGGACACGGGTTTCTCGGGGTCAACCGTGTGAGGTAGACATGCAGACGCTGGGGTGATACGATCAGGAGAGCACTGATTTATTATTACGTTTATATTGAATCGTCAAAGTTTTGTTGTTTTTTTGACATGCTGTGTCCGGATCTACCCCCTTGACTTGTCAGCTAGGAGTTATGTGTTGAATTACTGAAATGAGAATTCAGCCGAGCGATACTGGGTATTGCTCTAGAGAAAAAAATAAAATAAACTTTTATGACATTTTTAATTATTTTTTTAGATCCTAAAGATAAACTGAAAAAAAAAACATTATAAGGCTTTTTTAGAAAATGTAAATAAATGTACATGTGATTTAGAGGGCCATGGTGTGTCTAAAAATGCCCTTGATATTTATGCACTAAAATACTGAAACGATCATGTCGCCCGCTGACATTTACCATAAAATTGCTATTACGAAAGTGAACGATTCATTTTCATTATTACAATCAATATAAATGAATATCATTTTTTAACTGCACCTTTTAAAAGATGACAACAAAATAATCCTTTTTTATTTAAACATTTTCAACAATTTATCTGCAATTAAAATACCAAAAAGGTGACCAGGCCTACTAACACTGCACGCTGTGGTACTCTATTGTAAGTGACAGGCAGGTGAAAATAAAGCAAATCAATATAACAATAGACAAAACTGTAGCGATTTTTACTGGGCTCATCTACATGTTTTATAAACTGATTTGTGAAACTTAAATATTAAATGAATTGGTTTGCTCTCTCTCTCTCTCTGTGCTTTCAACTACCTTTCCTTAATCGTCTTCTGCTAATCTGTTTTCTTCCTTTTGTTGTATTAATATTTTCCCCCAACATGTATTTTTCACATTACCTATCTTAGAATCAGGTACGAACTTGATAAACAAACCGCAAAGAATTTCATAGGTAAAAGGTGTTGCTGAACCATTTATAAAAGCTTACGCAGAAATTTAAATTGTATTAATGTTCATCATGATTCGTCGTAAGACTTAAAATGATAGATATTCTGACTTCGCACCGTCTCATTCGAGTGATAACAAGGATCTTCAACCCCTAATTACATTAAATAATGCACCGATTCGAGATTTTATCAACACAGTATCAGGCTGAGATCACGCTGGAGGCTGCATAGATTGACGCTTTGGGGGAGGCATGGGCGTCTCTTCTAGCCTTCCAAATGCATAGCTTCATGGTGGATGAACCGAACTTTTTCAGAAGGTAAATCGCCACCGGAAACTTCTTTCCAGTTTGGGCGGGAGGAGAAGCCGGACGGGGTTTTCTGACAGAGCAAGAGCAGACGATAGCTCGTGCCGAGAGTGGACGGCCATTGCTGGATTGCGCCTCCATCCGGGAACCCCGTAAATGATTTCCCATCCCTCTCTGCGTGATAGTAATAGAAGTTAAGTCCACACAGGTTGAGATTTATATTTCTCCTCCGACTCGACAAGACATATGACAGGGAATGTTTCATTAGTTCTGAAGTCACCCTAATGTTGTCACGCACAGAGAGGCACAAGGTCGGTGTGAGACTGTGGGGAAGATAGCGACAGTTGCTCCTTGGGACTGGTTGGGGTAAAACTTGCGGCAGCAGTCCACGCGAGAGGAACGCCTGGTTATCCGGTGGAGGCTGACAAGTTGACTGGAATCAGATCGCAGCAATGTTTGTAAAAATTTGTGGTGTTGGATAGAAAGAGGTGTATTTTCATTTTGAGCAGACCGGAATAGGAAAATTCAAGGATAATATATTTTACTTAGGCCTGTACGGTAGGATATTACAGTACAAGGAAGCCATCGTGTGTCGACCCAGGCAGAGTGACTGGTATATATAAACTGGTAGCAAGCTTTCGGTACCATATCAATTTATAGAAAGGATATCTAGGAAAGCTGAAACTACGGAACAAAACGTACTGCTATTTTTTCGATTGTGTTCAAAGTTCCAAGTAGGTAGCTATAAGGATCGTCTTTGACGCGTTGATTAAAAGACAAATTCACCTTCACTTGGATATTTCTGGAATGTTCTCCTGAATTTCTTGATTTTTAAAGACACGAAGAGCACAATTATTCGAAAATAAAAGAAAAACAACAGACCGTCAAGTGATTGTTGCACGAAACGCCATTTTGTCGAGTCCATCTTTGGTGTGTGGTATTCCTTTTCGTACGCTACCGTATATATACTTAACGCGGACAGCAGGTAATTGGGTTTTATAACCCTACTCAAATAAACCACAACTTCACACGCCGCCTGGAAAATTTGACTGACCACTGACCATTGTGGACAACGATTGACCATCAAATTACACAGTGGAATGACAGATTGACGGATAGACCTCGACCACAACGACACGCGCAAATTCGCTCTTAAACCACACCTGATATTGAATGGTGATGGGCCTGGACGTTTTCCGGACAGGAGATTCGATAACAATATCCGTGCTAGGGTAACGTGGAAGATTTTAGGACAAAGTGGCAAAAATTGGGGCAAAAAAGGGGGAAGTAAGAGATCAGTAACGTCATGATTGGTGCACCTTTTGTCAAATAGTCACCACAATCCCCCGGGCAAGAGAAAAGTCGTTGACGCTATCGGGATGACATAGCATTCTATTGACAAAGCAACATCATAAGATTTTCACACATCCGCACCCTTTTTTCTACATTTCCCCCAACTTGTCGGCCACAGTGATCATTGGCGACAAATGTGACACTCGACACCAAAAATTGTGGTAAACTGCGTCATTTTGCGATACATTCTCACACATATATAAGGATTAGAACGCAACAGACTTGGACTTTTCGCGGAAGGTGTTTATCAAGAGCTTTTAAAGTACCAGACGTAATGTTTACAGGAATGCTAAAGGAAATTTATGATCATATACCTATTAATGTATTTTTGAAAGAGCTTCTTTAATTCAAAATCCAATTCACGACATATACTACTGAAAGTGATATATGTTCGTCTGTGAAGGGTACATTTGCTACCGTCTGCACGCTACTTGCTGATGGAGAAGTTTTTTACCACCGCCTAGGATATATTACCATAAAATATTATTTTATATCCTCATGCTGAAAAATCCATTGTAAAAACATCCAATCAATATTGTGCAATTTCAAAAGATCATCCAATTGTGAGAAAATCTACAATTTTTGAAGCAAATTGTTTTTGTCAGCCGAATGCAGGGAAATATTTTGTAGCGACAAACAATCTCATTATCGATATTACGAAATCCGCTCAACGCAGACGACCATGACGGGATTCTTGTTCAAAGCAGAACGGAAGATGGCGTATTTCAATCTGATAACGCTATGTCTGTTGGCGACCATGGCCACAATTTCGGCCGAAGATTACATACGACGAATAGAGCCGAAGGCGACCGAACCAAGTAAGTAGCATTAGGGCTATATATTATGTATCAAAACATGCCGCTGTTATATTGATAATCACCAATGACCACAAAGAGGGGATCAAGTGGTATAAATAAAAAGTGTGTTAATGATGTAACTTTTATTTATGAGAGAAGTCAATATAAGGATCTTAAAACAGGAAGGATTCTCTAATCATGTTGAATAAAACAATCATTTTTCACTAGAGGTTATTAATTCGACTGCAAACCATTGGCAGAATTAACACATTGTCCCTTTCTATCACAGAAGGATTTCAAGAAACTCTGAAAGAAAACCACAGATTTTGTCTGCAATTCTTAATGTATTTTTGACATTGATGCGACGAGACTGATCTAGACCATACTTCGCTCGTTGATGAAATGGCAACATTCTGATTTATATCTTTTCCCATATTTTTCATTCAAATGTGAGATATATGGTCATAAGCGACACACGAATGTGATTTTTGAAGTATTTGATTGCGACCTTCATCTTTAAGTCAATGCTGAAGCATATGCGGAAACTACTCGCGAAGTTCATTCAAAAGATAACATTATGTCATACGGTTTCCTTGGTATAACAAGTACCCATAAGCACGCCTAAAATAATGAGCTTTTGCTGACTCGCTATCTCACATCATTCTTAACTCACACATGAAGAGTACTGTAATTTACTCCGTGCCTTTTCTGTCTTTACTCCACTATCTCACATAGTTAATCTTCTGCATCATCATTAGAGTTGTCAATGTTATCGTTATCGCTGTCACCTTCTGCACCGGGATTTCAATTAGTTTAATTCCGGCAGAACTCAAGCATAACGTGCGAGCAAGCAGTCTCATATGAATATACGATTTTAAATCCGATTAAAAAAATTAAGTTTTTGAAATACGCGTCCCGCTTTTTGGACATTATAATCCCAAAGTCACATATTTCATAATCTAACCTTGTTTATTCATTGCAAACTTTCCTTACAACAATAATAACAATAAGAAGGTGATATCCGATATGTCTTTACATCAAATCAACGAATACAAGGGCCCGGCAAGGTCAGTATATATATAATAACGCCAACATAATGTGACATTAAAAAGAGCAAATTGATGAAGCAGTTATGGGAGTGTATAAAGGAAATTACATCGCCTACCAACGATATAAATTACAAGATATAATATAATATAATATGATATGATATGATATAATATAATATAATATAATATAATATAATATAATATAATATAATATAATATAATATAATGTGAAATCAGAAAAAGTGGGTTGATGAGGCAGACATGAAGGTGTAAAGGTGACTGTATAACTATATAAAATACAAGATATAAAAATCTGAAGCGAAAACATTGGCCTTCCCTGTAAACAATATCATTCATCAAGACCGTCACGCTATGTTACTCTATGTATGTTCATGTACGTTGTTTATCAGCCTACGTTCAAAATGCTGTGTATGAATGTCTACGAGAAATTATTTATGGACACATTTGATGGTATATATGGCACAGGGAACGCCTTTAGCATATCTTACTATCTAGACACCAACGGCCCTTTTAGCCGTCTTCATTACGTCGTTTTAATATAAGGATACCTTAACTTTAGAGTATCTTTTAGCCTACTTTGAGATGAATAAGCAGCTTTAGGAGACTACGTTGTAGTCCTCTTAACGATGTGTCCCGCCCCTGTTTTATGTACAAAAAAAAAAAAGAAAAAAAGATAGGGCGAGTATGATATACAAATATTTGGGTAAAGCGTTGCGTGACCATATCAATATTATCTAGCCACTGCACTGCAGATCAAACAGTGTGAGGTCGCTCCCATGTTTTATACAATCAAGAGAGACGAAAGGGAGAAATGTTTTCAAGTTTATGAAATCCCAGATCTGTCCCCGCACATGTCAAAATTTTAGACCCTTGCCTTTCGTTATAGCATGCGTCCAAACAATAAGAAGGCCTATGACAGGGCAATATTATTGCATCTTAATAGGTGAAAGTAAGGCCAATATTCAGAAACTTCACTCACTTTTTATATTATGAGATGCGGGGAAAAATCGTGTATGGCGTTACTGGTGGTTTAAAAAAAGTTCTTCAGTGTATGGGGCCATTCAATGCAGTTTTCAATTTTTATAGAATCACTCAAAATACTAATGTGAATAAATATCTTCTGTTGTGTTGGACAATAAAACAAACAAACAATTACAAACAAACATTTTCACATTTCCCCTCCAACAACTCTTATTTGTTGCCATTTTTGTTTGAGTTTTTATAAAAAATTCAGCCAGACGTTTGATTGTTAATTTCAGTCCACCAATGCCAATTCGAAGGACAGTACATCCGGGACGTTAAGAACCTGTGCATGTTTTACCAGTGTGAAAATGCGGATAATGACGGCGGATTGCGTCCGGCCACTCACGCATGCGCACCAGGCACCGGAGTGGCATCCGATTACCTGGATCCGGTCCCCCATTTCAGCATCAGTATTCAAGGGTTGAACCCGTGCGTTGTAAGGTGGGTGCGAGCTTCACAATGACTTACTTTTGTGAAACCAGGGAGTACAATTTTTATTTCTGCAACACAAATGAAACATTCTGAAACGCATGTCAATTTCCAGAACCTGCACTAACTGAAATTTCATATCTGTTTAAAGAAGTGTCTTATCATATATGGTAGTAAAAAAAATTAAAACAAACAAAAATGTTATTTTTTAAATTTAAAAATATTTTGAAGTAATCCATATTTATCGGCCATTTATCTTTGAAATTGGATTTAAATACATGGAAGACATTTTGTTTCGATAATGATACCGCGGGTGGAGTTGAAAGGAGACAAATATAGACGAACTTACAGTTGTCCTTAACTAACAGCTGTAATGATATAGAGATGTTGAACAAAGTTGCGGTTTTCAAAAGTGTCTAAAATTTATAACCCTTCAAGATTAAATCTTGATTACTCGATAACGAAAGACTTCCTGTGCAACTTTGTCGTATTTTACCATTCAATAAAACATCATGGTTGTTAATACCACCCGAGTTTATCCAACCATTTTTCCTAAATAATAAAAAAAAAACTTCGGTGCGAGAATATCAACAGATATATAAGAAAGATTAACTAGGTAAAACAACCCACCTATACACGCTCTCGCATTCGGCGCATTTGCTTTAAAGTTAAATTTATTATCTGCTAAAATATAAAGAGAAAGGTCGATAGAATATTCTGAATACTCTAATATATGCCATCCAGCGGACTCTGCAGGTACTTTATAAGTGAGACCTTCTTTAGTTAATATATAAGTCGGTACCAGGGTCGCCCTCTACACTCTCTCTTTCCTACTTTCCCTCGACACTGTGTGACCTGCCCAACATCATGTTAATTTCATGTTTATAAGCAATTATCCCATCATATAGTTTTGCAAAACAATGAATTCTATTATTTCGAACTGTGGCCCACTTGTTTTACATCTACCGTCGTCTTGTAACATGGAATTTTACTTGCCTGTAAATAGTGCAGTTTTTATCCATTTGTAGGATGTTATTGCTCCCATTAAAAACAACAGATCATTTTTCCAGTAATAGAATAAAGCAAGAAGACAAAACAAAGAGAATTTACAGTTATTTACATATATTAGTGGTTATCCAACGATATTCACAAAACAAACAGCGTTCTATTCGTTTATCTATTCTGAGTATATAATTTTATAAATACCCATTCATTTTTTGTAATACAAGGTTACAGTATTGTTTTGAAAGTAAAGAGAATCGATCACTGTGATTGTTATCGTAAAAAATAAACAGATAAATGGAGTACTAAAGAACGTTGCCTCCGGTCACCCAGAATACCCAACTGATGAATCATCGCCTTTGAAGTGAGACAATTCAATGGACACGCCCTCTCTCTCTCTCTCTCTCTCTCTCTCTCTCTCTATATATATATATATATATATATATATATATATATATAATATTGTCGAATATCTATTTAATTAACAGCCATATNCCGAACGCATGAATCACCGCCTTTGAAGTGAGACAAGTCAATTGACACGCCCTCTCCATCTCTCTCTCTCTCTCTCTCTCTCTCTCTATATATATATATATATATATATATAATATTGTCGAATATCTATTTAATTAACAGCCATATTAGACAGCTTTAAATAAAAGACAAGGGACAACCTCGACCTAAGAAAAGAATGACATGTGCAGATGTTTCTTGATAAAAGACAAACAACTTTTATAGGAAAATTGTCATTTTCCAAACTCTTGGTTCGTTTAATTTCCAAAGAAACAAAGGGCCGAGATAAAACGTCGCCGTCCATCTTTCCTCTTCCTGGCATGGAAAAAAACTTCACTAGGTTTTTCTGAGGGTTAGCACGTCAACTAACAATAAGAACATGTCCTGAGATGTCAAGAAATGAATCTTTGCAGAGAAGCAGTACCTTGCACCATACATTTAGAAAACAGAACAAATGCCATGCATGTTGCCAACTTTTATATGTTTAACCTTGAGTTATAAATAGTATATTTGATACAATAAATAAATAAATAGATAGATAAAGCGATAAATAAACCGAGTGTAAATTAAAGACTATAATATATTGACCTCCACGACGAAGAATATCCACATACAATATGATAGTGGTTCCACTAATTAAAGTCCTGTATGCCATCATTATAGTTAAGTAAGTTCACGTTGTAATTTGTGTCGTCGATTAGGAAGATACGTGGACAATAAAGCGAAAAGAACATGATTTAATGTATGATATTACTATAATTAGACGTCTGATTATATTATTAATTTCTTGAATTAGAAAATAAGTGAATTTAATGTGAAGAGAACTAATCTTAACTTATAAGACCAAACTGTTTGATATCTATGTACTTTAATTCCATAGGTTATGCTTTCCACGTGATTTAAAGTGATTGACTCGTTTGGAAAAGGAAATGTATATGATAATTTTGATGGCAATTACTTCATTTTAGTGTATACTGTGACATTTTTTTATCATAAATCAAAGAAGACAAAAATTTTGGACCTGAAAGTAAACATCAAATTTTGGCTGAAGATCCTTTGTGAAAGTGCTTCAGATCGTACGGATTGCATTATCAAAACATCGGTTTCTGACCGCCCAGATGCCTTCAATATACGGAAGAGATATGTCTTAATGTGTGGTCGTGCCTTCTTAATCGAGACTAATAACACACCTTACCTCTTTGACACGGCGCAAGTCATGTCAAGCACAAGACGAACATGCTATTACATATCATGGTATTGTTCTAATTGAGGTTAAAAGTGCAAAAAAAAAAGTAGTAACATGCAAGCACCTGTTCTAATGTGTAACGTAATTACAAGAGGTCGATTACAAAACTGAGTTCAATATTTGTGATAAGAGAAATTATGGATAGGCAACCTAATCCTGTGAGTTATATATGCAGTATCATCGTTAATTTGGACACATCTTACAAGATGGGTTCAAGTCATTAGTGAGCCTTATAAATAAATAACGTGTGTGTATCAGTCATAGTCACCTTTAACTGGTTTATGAATATAGTTAAAATAAATGGCGTGTCAAAGGTCAACCACTGTAGTCTATAAGGTGTTCCTCAATTTCGTTACAAATTATTTCCATAATTGCGAGTGTAATTTATGTTTGTAGATTTTGTTTTTAAAAGTCTTATACAATAAATATTGAAGACCCCTGTAGTCTTAAAGGTGTCCCTCAATATCGTTTCAAAGTAATTACTTTTGGGTCCGCTGGCTGACCACACAAAATGTGCCAATTTTTCGCAATTCGTCTGTAAAACGCTCAACTCTTTGTCCTTTCGGAACAATTAATACCTTCTAACCTAAATATTTAAATTATGGCATTATGTGCAAGGAATATGAAGCCAGCGGACCCAAATGTAATTACTTTGAGACATTTGGGATTTAGAACACTCCCAATATTTTACACTCGCAAGAATGGAATAGCATGTTCTTTTCTGAGTGTATTTTCCGACCAGACCTTATGGACTATTCTTGGTATCTTCAACCTAAGTTTTGGAGGCTACTGGAAACAAACCTCTATAGTCAGGAACCTCTGAAACTCGAAAGGGTATTTTAGACCACTTTATTTTCTCTGTAATATTTCAAACAAGACGTCCACGATCACTTCTCCACTCGACCATGAAAATGCCTGGTTCTAACACGACGTGTTAACGTTTACAACACACGTTTTTATTACCCCGTAATGCACCCTACTTCAGACCCCCAGATCCGAGTTTGGTGTATTTGGGGGGGTTATCTTATTACAGTAATAATACAGGCCTACTTATTCTAATATCCAAAACAATGTCCCTCAGTCACTCAGAATTCTGTCCTAACACTTTATATTGTGTCACTACTAATCCACTGATACGTTGCAATTTCCTTTTAGGAGGAAAACTGATTGTGAAGACACGACGCCCACCTCCCAGTGGAATCAGTGGACGCAGTGGAGCGCATGCTCAGCGTCTTGCAATGGCGGAAGTCAGACACGCACGCGCACGTGCCCCGACAACACGTGCGTTGGGCGTGACCGCAACAGCAGGGCATGCAATACAGGGGACTGTGGTGAGTAATTTTTTATATTTTTTTCTTTTTCGTTTTTATATCCTTTTGACTTGTTTTGGGGTTCTGCACTGAAATGGAATATTGGGTAGTTGTATTTGGAACAAGTAGTAGCATGGCTTTACCAGTAGGGCTTCAAGTTACCAAATAAAGAGATATAGCATAAGCTGAATAGCAGTAGAAAATCTATCGTCACAGTAGTAGTAACGCTAATTGCACTTGTCACGGCAATATTAGTAGTAGAAAAAGTAGGTCGCTCTGGTAAGTACCTTCAAAGGCCGATCCAGATCAAGGACACGTTAAACAGCTTTCTTCCCCAGAGTAAGCAGCCCATTGAATTTGGTTGTATCAGTCAAAAAAAAAAAAAAAAAAAAAAAAAAAAAAAAACGTTCTAAAAATATGAGTGGGTTCTATCAAAGCAATTTATGTACCCCACCTTTTTGCCAAAGTGTCTGGATCAGCTTTTGGTAGTAGATCTTTACTATGGCCCTTTGCACATGGAGCGGCACAGTTTTCTGCATCTCACCAGTTTGATTGGCCCTAACCTATAATGACAGTACGTTTTTTAATCCCTTTCACAAGTCCCAATGACCTTATCAAAATTAATCCGGTTAAGTGGCCGTGTAGAGCACGGGGGATCCGTTTAAGTGACTCTCTCTTGTCAATCTCTCAAGTTGGTGCGATATAAAAGTCTGCGCCGCTAGATGTTAAAGGGGCCTATTAGTACGCACTAAACTAGCAATTAGCATAGATACACTTTATCCGGTTAGCTGAATGGAACACATGGAATCCGTGGTCCGGATGCTCGGCATCCTGTGGTGAGGGGAAGCAGACCAGGAGAAGGACCTGTGATCCGGGGGAAGTGGGCCAGTGCGCAGGCTCAGCAGAGGAAACGAGATCCTGTTCTAAAGGAGATTGCGGTGAGGGGTGCTATCCAAACAGCAGCCTCCTTTCGCTGTTGAAGAATTCCGCAGAAAAGTTGACCCGATGTAGTTCATTTTTCACTGACGCTATTACATTAACTTATACAAAATGTTCACTGTTTAAAATACACAAATTTTGTTGACTAATCAGAATCTTACAACAGAGTTGGACAATTATGAAATATTTTTTGGTCGGTGTTATGTTCAACAAACCCCTTATAGCTATAGGCCTATGTTTGATTATGTAAATTATTCCTGAAAAAAAAAACTGCTTTCCTTTTCCAGCCTCGTGGACAGCCTGGACCTCATGGACCTCGTGCTCAGCAACATGTGGTCAAGGGTCATCGTCACGGACACGGCAGTGCGTTGGTCTGGGGGACTGCCCAGGGTCCAGCAGTGAGGTCAAGCCTTGTAATAACGGACCATGTGGTGAGTTTTGTATTGAAAATAATAAATGGTTTTAAATATCATTTAATGTGCCCTGTATTTGATACCATATACTGTAAGTTGAACAAGACGCGTGGTATAGTTTTAGCTAACAGATAAATGGCATATAACAAACTGGAGTACCATTATGAACATACATTGGCATCTCGTTCCAAAGACTTCAGATTACTCTTCATGTATTGACTGCTGGCGTACAATTTGATGGAATATAGTGAATATAGAAGATGACTAAAACGAGTTTTATAGCATTTAACGTAGGGAAATTGTACACATGGTATAAGCATCACCTGTGGGATGGTTGATGTTTTGGTGGTGGTGGGGGGGGGGGGGGTTGTAATAATCGGTTGGTTTCCATGGTGTAAACATGTAACCAAAATGTGACAAGATGAAGGGTCACCACGAGGACAGGTCATTATCCCCCATGTGACTGTCCAAATGTGTAACACGTGTCGTGGTAGGCCTATATCTCGGTTATTTCGTCATTCCCCCAAAATAATCACTGAAACACTGACCTTATAATGTCAGCTATTTATCTTCCGCCTTAAATTAATGACTTCTTAATGTCAGATTCTTATCCTAGTGACATTTCCTGCATTGTTGCATTACAGCACTTGTTGTAGCACCTTGTGCTTCTTGGTAATTTGGTCACGCCTTTTTGAAATGCTGACCTCAACAAGTCAAGTCTCTGTCTAAATGTGTTACATGTATTACAACACGTGTTGTTGCACCATGCTCGTTTCGGTAAGTTGGTCATGCCCTTTTGCAGTTTTGGCCTCATCATGATAGATTCCTATCTCGGTACATTTCTTGCATGGCAACTCGTGTTATGGCACCTTGTTCTTCTTGGTAATTTGGTCATGGCTATTTTGAAAACATTTCCCTGTAGAATAATATGTGCTGCACCGTGCTTTGCACCACGTGCATTTTGGTAATTTGTCATTTGTTTAAATATACTGAATCTTATCTCAATTTCTGGAAATTATGCAGGTTCGTCGGAGGGCAACATGCCTAAAAATATCCCGTAAAGAGAATAAATAATCTTTATGTGTGTCTGTTACACAATTCGCTAGATCATGGGTCATTCAAAACATGGACCAGTTTCAAGAGATAACATTAAACCCAAAGTTGGTCCAAAACTTTATTTTAAAATTTTGCTCTATTGTAATTGTTATTCAGAATAAAAGCAGGTAGCCCTCTATAACTATGTATTGGTCCAAAATTTACGACGTTTCTTTCATGTTTTAAAACAGACGCATTGTTTCATTGAAGTGGACCACTTCGGGTTTAAATAAGCCCAAAATAGAATGCTATTTTTGGTCCAAAACTCTGGGCCAACATTCGGTCTAAAATTCCCTCGTGGAACCTGTCTCTGGCCTACGAGTGCCATGCATGCCAAGGTACTTCGTTCACTGTGGAATGTGAACCACATTTCCTTGTACATGTTACATGTCCCAGTAAACATCGCGTAATAGTTCTTCCTTTCCGACTCGGTTGCCACACGATTACCATTTGCTCTTAATATTAAAAAGTTTTGCGTTATATACACCATTTTGGTGCAGACAAAATCTGAGTCAGACGGACTGAATGCGCCAAAAACCTCAATGGTGTTTTTGAAAGAACCACAAAAATACCAAGAAGACGTGTATTGATGATTTTTTTGATCGCGTGTTGTCTTCCATTTATCTGTGACTGTCTTGGTGTGGGGCTGTGTGGTCGATATGGAACCTCCTGTCCCAGTTGAATAGAAAAGGAGTGCTTGGAACATGGTGGTTTATTTATCCAGAGAAATAATGAATGAGTAGCTATTGTTTTCAATGAATGCATTACGTTCACCGGGACATTGTGAAATCAATTATGTAAAAGATACGTTATGTTTTTTGCATATGGTGGCATTCAGTAATTTTAGGTAAAACCATATTGTGTCACAAAATGGAAATAATTTCTGAACATGCGCCACAGCCATTAAAAATATATAAACATTGAAATACGGTTATATATTTTTTTGTCTCCAATACATTAGACGTGAGCTCGAGCATGATAATACTACAAAAATAACTTTCCATAATATACTATACCGTGGGAAGTGTCAAGATGCTCTGCCTAGCACTGATGAAAGTTATACAATTTTCACATGCAAGAAGTGTTTTGCTGAGGAGTGTTTGTATGTTTATTTTAACTTGTTTAGGTGAACGAGGAGCGACAGCTACTATTCATATTTCCAAACTAAACTTTGTCTCCATTTTTGTGTGTATACATGCACCTGTCTAAGTTATCTAAGGCTGCATTTAGGACAGCGGACTAACTAGTCTCCGGACCAAATATGGCAACCGACTAAAAAGCTTGCCGTCTAATCCGCTAATATAATCCGTCTAATCCGCTAATAGATTCCCCGTGGGGAAGTATTCAAGTGGGTCAGCTATATTTGACCCGTGGACTAGTTAGTCCGCTGTTCTGAATACAGCCTAACTTACATTTTTGCCAGTCCATACAGGTGGATATGATGCAACAAATTAATGAGTATACAAGAAGGAAGTGTCGTCTATATTAATTATTAACTCTCTCAGTGTGATACAATACTCCCTGAAATTCATCATGGCGAGATAGGTGCCAGACTGTTCCCGCAAACTGTACATGACTAGCCAAAAGTGGCATAGGTTTAACCTCCACTTACGACAGTCCATTTTTCATTATATAAGAGTACATAACTTCAGTTAGATGTACTAGTCTTCATAAATATTATAACGCGTACGACACGCACACAGATTTACAGGTTCGAAAATGCGCCCATTAATGGTTAGCATGTTATTGATAAATATGATAACACTTGTAAACAAGGAAGTAGATCTTTATAAACAGTAATATAAAAATTAAGGAATTGAGCTGAGCCCCGCAAGAAAATGCAGTAGTATCGAAGTAGCAAAGAAGCATTAACGCAGTAGTGGTGTGGAGCATATTTGCAGTAGAAATGCAGTATAGCCTACTGCAATTCTACTTCAAAAACTACATAGGGTTGTACAGAGGAGGAGCATTAATGCAGTAGATTAGCAGCATGATAGAAGCATGTTTCAAATATGCTAATTAGCTCCCACATCGAAGCAGATTTGAAGCATGTTTGCAGTATGATTGCAGTAGTCTACTGCGCTGGAGTATCTACTTCGTTTTCGTGCCCTTCGATCCCGTCGTAATAATATAAATAAAAATATATGCCTTAAAATAACAGCATGAAAACAAACATGATTGTATATGCTATAAAGTGTTTTTCTGTTAAAAATAATAATGATAACCTCACTTTTGTCTGTAAATATTAATTTTTCCAGCGTCGTGGTCAGCGTGGACATCGTGGAGCACGTGTTCAGCGTCGTGTGGTCAAGGGTCCAGCAGCCGAACGCGGCAGTGCCAGGGGATAGGCACATGTCCAGGACTGGCCGAAGAAGTTCGCACGTGCAATAACGGAGTGTGTGGTCAGTAATGGATCTATGGCATCATGCTACATGAATTTGTCGTCATGCTACATGAATTTGTCGTCACTACCTGAATACTAGCATTTAGAATTACTATGTTCATAAAAGGAGCATCTATTTGATTCCTCATTTTCAAGGCTTTTCATAATTGATAGGCCGAACAAAATTCAGTAAACAAAACGTTTAACAAATTCTTTTACGGTTGTGTTTTTACATGTGTGGTATATTTTTCAAACCTGTATTCCAGCCGGATGGTCTGCCTGGACATCGTGGAGCAGTTGTTCAGCATCCTGTGGTCAGGGAGCAGTCAGTAGAACTCGCCAGTGTCAGGGCATAGGAAACTGTCCTGGCGTGGCCAGGGAAAGCAGGGATTGTAATATCGGACCCTGTGGTATGTGTTAGGGGACTCCTCATGGCACGTTTAGATATGCAATAATTAAGTCAAAAATAAAGTTCGATGGAACTTCACTTTGTTATTTGAATTGTATATTTGTCAAGGTTACTCACAGTTAAAGAGTAAAAAGACACAAATAACCTCCATATGTTTATGGATTAACATATGACTCAAGCAACCCTGAAGGTGATGCCCTCAAACAACAATGCTACATGAACATGATAATAAACCAATCTGTTAAGAGTATGACTTACAAAGGAGCCTTTACTTCTTGCAGCGTCCTGGGCGGCGTGGACGACGTGGGGTAGCTGCTCTCGTACATGTAACGAGGGCACTAGTAGACGCACGCGCCAGTGCGTTGGTGTAGGAACATGTCCAGGACCACAGCTTGAAGACAGGGCATGTAATAACGGTCCCTGTGGTAGGTATTCTAGTGGGTGAATGTCGCTATTTCCCTACATATTTTTGATCTACTATTCTGTTAATGCATTGATGGCAAAATCAGAGAATAAGGTTCTATTTCTGGAGCTTAAACATCACAATAAGTAAATTACCTAAGCTCCGATGGCATTGACAATAAAGTTTTGGTCACGTATACAGTATGCGGAAGAAAATGCGTTTGAAGATAAAGCCTTTCTAAAGTTCGGCTATATGAGTATTTAGATTTTAAAAGGAATTAAGTTATCATGTTTATTTTAAGTCATTTTAAAATCAATTTTCTGAAACAGCTTCTCTGACTGCCTGGTCCACTTGGAGCGCGTGTTCTGCCTCGTGTAACCAGGGCGTCAGCACCCGCGTGCGCGAATGCACGGGACTTGGAGCGTGCACAGGAGCACTTTCCGAGAACAGGGAATGTTCAAATGGGCCATGTGGTACGTAGAAAGTTATTTTATAATATCTCCACTTTGCCGCTATATTTAAAGGTCACATAATAGTAACTTATTGTTATGAATAATATTATATTTCAATAACAATGAGGTATTGTTATTGAAATATTTCAATAACAATAACTCAATGTTATTGAAATATAACATTTTCATAGCGAAAGGACGTATCACGATATTTTTTCGTCATAAGACTGTCATAAAATAGGCAAATAACCGTGATGAATTTGGTCAAATAGTCCTGAATTGTGTTCGTTTTTAGCGTCTTGGTCATCATGGACGGCGTTCAGTGAGTGTTCTGTGTTCTGTGGTCCGGGCAGAAGCAGCCGTACCAGGGAGTGTATCGGGATAGGACTGTGCCCAGGGCTCAATAGGGAAGAGAGGGACTGTAACAACGGAGCTTGTGGTAGGTTTATGTTTGTAGTAACCACATGATATTCGAAGAATAGAATAGCTGATCTTTAAATGTTTATCACTGATTACTATGGTGGTATTCAAATTTATATATGATAAATCGCTAACTGCATCAATCTATTTTTGTTTTATTCGCTGTGCTGTTGTACTTTTTTGACATATTTTTTACTTTCCTTTTCAGCTGGTTGGTCAGCCTGGACATCGTGGTCAAGCTGTTCAGCGTCCTGTGGTCAAGGCAGCACTGGACGTACTCGTATATGTTCTGGACTTGGAGAGTGTCCGGGACCAGCAAGTGAAACGAAACAGTGCAGCAACGGACCTTGTGGTACGGATATTAAAATTAAATCTTTTATAATCAATATGACCTGGACCAACAAAATGCATGCATTTAATTCAATTACTTATTCAATAATTTATTTGATCGTATATCAGCTATGTGTTACAGAAAAAGAAAGGGATATTTTGAAGGAATATTTTGGCGTGTAGGCTAATCAGGGTAAAATGTCAACACGCCAATATCAGTATTATCATAACACTCGTCTCCCTAATGTCACCCACGGTAGGTCAAAATAAAATTTTCCATTACAGCCGCGTGGGCCGCCTGGACATCATGGAGTAGTTGCTCTCAGTCTTGTAATGAAGGCACTAGTAGACGTAGAAGACAGTGTGAAGGTATAGGTACATGTCCAGGAAAGGAACTGGAGGACAGGGCATGTAATAATGGACCATGTGGTATGTACTGGAGTAGTTATGTTATGTCTTTAAGGCTTCACATTTTACAGTATATAAGGAATAACTTGAAACTAGGACCTCTATCATTGCTTGAAACAGGGGCATGTTAAAGTACGAATGTCTTGAATTTGGCAATGGCTTTGAAGAATAATCTCAGCCACTTACTTCATATGTTGCGATAGCTATTACGATACTAGGCATCGTATGTCCAGGAAAAACATAGTGTTCATCATTGAATTGATGGCCATGTTGAAAAATTGGCCTTATATTAATGTTATTTGGTATCTTTATTCCATATTTTTCAAACGGTAAAAATCTGGATTTTAAAATGAATTTTTAGCCTCCTGGTCAGCCTGGACGTCGTGGTCAAGCTGTTCAGCGTCCTGTGGTCAAGGTACCTCTGGACGTACTCGTGTATGTTCTGGACTGGGAGAGTGTCCGGGATCTGCGAACGAAAACAGACCCTGCAGCAACGGGCCTTGTGGTACGGATTTCTACTTCCAGAAATAAAGAAATATATGATTTTAATGTATTATTTTTGCTTATTGATAAGCAATTTTTACAATGGTAAATGGGGCGCTGAATTTTTGATAACATGAACTATGAAGAAATTTATATTAAAAATTTAAACGGCAATAAATTATCACAAAGATGCATTCGTATCTCATTAATCATGACATTCATATTCCCCAGCATCGTGGTCGGCGTGGTCGGCATTTGGAAGCTGTTCAGTGTCGTGTGGTCCTGGCAGTAGCAGGAGAACAAGAGAATGTATTGGAATAGGATTCTGCCCTGGAGATGAGTTCGAAGTCAGAGCCTGCAATGACGGCGCTTGTGGTAGGGTTATTATATTTCTAAACATTCAAAATGAATCGTTTGGTGGTGGCTTTAGAATACTTTAAACCGCAAAATACATATAGGTTATAGATATAGTTAGGGTTCATTTAGCATTTAATGTTACTGTCATCGAAAAAGTAACCCGACATTCAGTAGACTATACGGTTTATAACTGCACAGCTCTACTCCCTGTGCAAAAACTCTCACTACAGAAATGCGCTAGTGCAAAGCCAAAGAAATCTCTGTAGATATCTGTGAATATATATGTGCTAGTCTTGCTCCAAGTAATATATATATATATATATATATATATATATATATATATATATATATATTGTGGCCAATATTCTTCATATTTGGCCATTGTTTAATCCGTAGATTTGTGGCATTGAAACAGCATTGTTCCTCATTCATTATATACTGTCTCCTCTTTTGGTCATTTCTCTCCACAACGGCAAACTAAGCAAAAACATTTTTAACCGAGTACAATTTTGTTCTTAAAACTTTCAGCCGGATGGTCAGCCTGGACGTCGTGGTCAAGCTGTTCAGCGTCCTGTGGTCAAGGCAGCACTGGACGTACTCGTGTATGTTCTGGACTTGGAGAGTGTCCGGGACCGGCTAGGGAGACGAAACAGTGCAGCAACGGGCCTTGTGGTACGCTGTGTCCTGTTTTCCTACGTCGATAAGCTATATACTTTATAATGGACCACAGTTGTTTGGGAATATTACTGGCTAAAATTAATATAAATTGTGTAAAGAAAACATCCTTATACACCGGAAGGCATTTGACACCAAGAATTCTTTTACAATTTCAGCGTCTTGGTCTGCCTGGACAGCGTTTAGCGCATGCTCACTAACTTGTGGACAAGGTACAAGCAGAAGAACACGGCAGTGTATCGGTATAGGAACATGTCCGGGAACTGGGATTGAAGATCAGGCCTGTAATAACGGACCTTGTGGTAAGGGAAACGTTCTACCTCATTATAACCATCTATCGCTTAAAAAAAAGAAAGGTTGTTGCCATGATAGCGTTGACAAGAAATGTTCATATCCTTTTTTGACTCGTTTTTCAGCTGGTTGGTCGGCCTGGACATCGTGGTCAAGTTGTTCAGCGTCCTGTGGTCAAGGCAGCACTGGACGTACTCGTGTATGTTCTGGACTTGGAGAGTGTCCGGGAGCAGCAAGTGAGACCAAACAGTGCAGTAATGGACCTTGTGGTATGTCGTCCTACATACATGTACATGAACTGAGAGCAGGTTTTTTCTTCAATAGCTTCAAAAAATATTTCATAGACAGCAATGAATTTAGTACATAACGAACACCAAAAATGTGCCAGAAAAATTCGCTTATAGTTATTTATTTAGGAATAAAATTTCATTTTTACATTCCCAGCATCTTGGTCAGCGTGGACGGCATTTGGAAGCTGTTCAGTGTCGTGTGGTCCTGGCAGTAGCAGGAGAACAAGAGAATGTATTGGAATAGGATTCTGCCCTGGAGATGAATTCGAAGTCAGAGCCTGCAACGACGGAGCTTGTGGTAGGGGAACAGAGATTTATCCCAAGCTAAGACGATCAAGTCGAATAGCAAAACAGAAACTAGTTTTTTTTTTACATTTCTATTTCTTTTCTGTTATTTTCGTGGGATAAATATCATTTGAAAAAAAAACAAAATATTCCATTGCTTTTCAAAAAAGAAAAATAATAATTTTCATTTCCATATTCAGCTGGTTGGTCAGCCTGGACATCTTGGTCAAGCTGTTCAGCGTCCTGTGGTCAAGGCAGCACTGGACGTACTCGTGTATGTTCTGGACTTGGAGAGTGTCCAGGAGCAGCTAGTGAACTCAAACAGTGCAGTAATGGACCTTGTGGTTAGTATGATACTTTTTTTAATAAATGTTTTAGGTAATGATAGTTGATTCTTATGATCGTTAAGACCGTTGAACTGCCTTGTAAATAAAATGGGTTGGATTTAATGTATAAATACTAGGGTCAAAATCACTGAAAAGTCAGTTTTATAAAAGAATGACATCGAGGCTGATAAAATATAAGAAGCTAATTATCGAACCATTGATTGCTATCTCGGCTAGTATTAATTGTATGTTATTCTATTTATGTTATATGTATACGCCCATACGCTCATGAGATTACTTATCATCGGTTATATATATATATGTAAATATATATCAGTAGAAGAGATATTACCAGAACATGAGTAATCGATCAAAAATGTGACCAAAAATTGGCCCTTAGCCGGCACCAGAAACAATTAATCCAGACACAAACATAATAACATCCACCAGAATAGAAAATATTAAAATACTGGTCAAGGAAAACCGTGACTCTCACCGTAAAGTCCTTGATGCTATTAACATCAGGCTACACTGGGCAAATCTCAATAAAAATGATGGGACTGAGCTGCCCAACCTCTATCTTCCAAATTTTGTGGAAAAGGGTTAGTTATTGTAATTTTGGTCGATAGGGGAAGGCATTAATTTGAGTCATTTTTTTTTGTTTGTTTTTTTTTTTTTTTGTGTGTGTACGGCCCATATCTTTATAAACTTATTTGTATATTCTGAACATTGTTTTCTTTAAGTTGGGTAAAGTATATAGTTAGTTCTTGATGTTATATTAAGACAAACATACACATACTGTACATGCTGTACATATCTTGGGTGTCAAAAATTCTAGTCTTGCGACGTTCAACCCGGCCTTCAATTGAAAATCCACGATTTCAAACTGCCGGATATGTTCATTAGGGACATTTAGATCAGCTTTTAATTTAGCATTGTCAGTCCCCAACTGTTGGATGCGTTCACTAGCAGCGGTGCCCTCGGGCCTCGCTGCAACATTTGCCCGTTCACTTCGGCCTGCACAAAAGCTGTTTCCACCTTGCTTTGCTCACGTGTTTCCCAACCCCTGCCCCCTGTCTTGTCACCTGTCCCTTCGGGTCACGTTGGCCACCGGCTGCAGTGTCAGTGTCAGTGTCACTGGTGACTATACTTTCTTCTTTTTCTTCAACAGAAAATATAAACTCTAAATTAAATCAGTAGCGATTCAGCACTAGTTTGGAGTAGGAGGCGTAAATACATATATTTCCACTGATTTTCTTTCAAACCACACATTCTGATGACTACGACAAGCGACATTTGGAGTTGGTAGGTCAGAGATGTGTATTCACTGAATACTCACCACAGTGGATCATGGCGTTAGGTGGGATCCCGGCCTCTGCCAATGTACATGAGTCATCAGGCCACTGTAGATAGCACTAAAACCATTGTAATATTGGGAAATCAGAAACAGACAGATAACTAACAAAAGTGTATTTGTTTACCCACGTATAGTTTATGGCCCCATCAAAATGGATGATCCGAGTACTTACTGATCCGCCGACTAAATATGGCCGACCACATTTTAAAAGCGGTACCGCTGATTCCTGATGGTCTCCCCGCCTCCACACGCGCCGTCGCTGCAGGGGTCTAGTAATTAAACCACGGAGCGGATATTTAATCCGTTTGAAGGCGCGTGTGGAGTCGGGGGGACCATCAGGAATCAGCAGCATCGCTTTTGAACTCTGTCGGCCATATTTAGTCGGCGGATCAGTAAATACTAGGGGCATCTATTCTGAATGGGGCCTTTGATTCGGTATGTTATACTATTGTTACATAAACCCACTTTTGTCAACTTATTGTAATACTATATATGTAACCCCTAACCATTCACAAAATTTACTGAAGTTTAAATATTTAGACAAATTTGTTATCAGTCAATTTGGGTCTATGTTTAAATAGGTCTTAGTTAATTTTTTCAGAATGTCAACATGTTTTAACATTATCGTGAGCTTGATGTTAAATTTTGAATATCACTAAAGCCAAGGTAACACTAACACATTCCAATATTCAGAAAAGTTTTATTATTACAATTGGTGCTAACAGGTGAGAGAAACCAGGGTACTTACATGTACAACCTTCTGTTTTTCATTTCTGCTATCTGCATGTTGCTCCAAATAAATAACAAAGCGTCCTTTACGCATAATTTGATGTAGATTTTGTATGTCTGCTATTTTCATCTGTGGATCATAAGGTATCTCAAATCCCCGTCCACCTTCTATCATATATACACCTTTTCTCTTCAAACGTTTCTCGTCCACTGCCCTGTGCTCTGATACACCTCTCCTCGCCTCACGGCGGCCATCCGCTGCAGCAGTAGTACCACTTGCGGTATTTTCTTCTACTTTTTCGGCATGAAGGAGAGGCCCTAAATTAATCGCAGTGGGTGCCGGGGAGACACATTCCTGTTTAGCGGTGTTCAAGATAGCTTTCAAACGATCATTCTCAGTCTCCAGCTGTCGGATACGGTTGTAAGTGGTAGCGACCTCAGCCCTCAATGATTTCAGTTGATCTTCCATCTCGTTACCAGTGCGACGGATTTTCTTTAATTCAGCCTCACGTCGACGAATTTTCTTCGCCAGCTCTTTAAGTTCCAGGCTTTGATGCTGATTGGCTTCAAGGCTTAGCCGACTCTCGGAGTTGATGCATGAAACTGCCCCTCTCTGCAGAAGTTGAAGCGTCCCTTTCTGTGCGGATATTTGTGCGTCGCGCTCTTTCATCTCAGTCATTTGATTTTCCAGTTCCTGTCGCAGCTTTAAGTTTTCCTTTGACAGTTGATCGCACTTCTTGACAAGTTTAGCAACATCAGGAACAGCCTGTGCCATGGCTGGGAAACAATTCGAACGAGGAAGTAAAATTTACTCCTCAAAAATAATATGGCGCATACAGCAGATAACGCAAATGTCCCCGATATGTATATATATAGCATTCATGTTAATTATTACATACATTTGTATATAGGCTGTTTTAATGAGATAAAACTATATTTATATACGAACTGTCTCACTCCAGCCTCTTGGGCCCCGTGGTCAGGGTTTAGCGCTTGCTCACTAACTTGTGGTCAAGGTACCAGCAGAAGAACACGGCAGTGTATCGGTATAGGAACATGTCCTGGAGCTCAATTTGAAGATCAGGCCTGTAATAACGGACCTTGTGGTAAGGAGGCCAATAAAACAACACAATAACTCCAATCATTGATGAAAATGAATGAAATTTCTTCCTTCCGTTTGTGCATAACTTTTTCTGAACTCTGCAATCTTTCGCAACATCTACTAAATGCAATTAATCAAATAAAGCCTTTACGGTCGGAGAAAGTTCTCTGTAATTGGCTTCTATATTTCCACAAGTGGCATTAACTGTACAGAATCAATCAAGAAATATATAAAGTAAGATAATCAGTGCGATTTCACCGGGATGCGTCATCGTAAATTAGACGAGCGTGTGTTTTTGTCCAAAATCGGTTGACTTAATTGTTGGTGAATAATAGACAATAAAAGATTAGTTTGTCAAACCAGTATGAAGTTGATGTGTTTACTTTATTTAATTCAGCCTCCTGGTCAGCCTGGACGTCGTGGTCAAGCTGTTCAGCGTCCTGTGGTCAAGGTACCTCTGGACGTACTCGTGTATGTTCTGGACTTGGAGAGTGTCCTGGAACAGCAAATGAAAATAGACCCTGCAGCAACGGGCCTTGCGGTGAGTTATCGAACAAAAAATTAGAACCTTCACCTTTAGACGAAGTCATTGAGCACAGATAATTCAGTAAAAGTAAAAGTTAAAAGTATAAAATCGGTAGGTCTCAGACTCCCTTTCTTCTTTTGGTAGATTCTCCATTTGATGTTCGCCTTTTTTTATAATAAAAAGAAAGATATAATGGCATATGACGAAATATTCTGATATTTTCAGCCTCTTTAACCGCCTGGTCCACTTGGAGCGCGTGTTCAGCCTCGTGTAACCAGGGTGTCAGCACGCGCGTGCGCGAATGCACGGGACTGGGCACGTGCACAGGTGCTCTGTCTGAAAACAGACAATGTTCTAATGGACCGTGTGGTAAGTAGTCACATTATCACCACACATCAGATAAATAAGCCCTTATTCATTTGCTATCGCGCAGAGAATTCTTACCCTGAGTATTGGAGTTTACTGGAAACTCATCTCAGTCATCACTATGCGGTTACCTCTGTCATTTCCCACTGCATGAGCACAGAAGAGACATGGAGTGTCCAAATTTCAGGATGCAGATCTGAATTTTGGATATGTTCTTGAATTGCGCTCATGATATAATCATATATATATATATATATGTTTCATCTGTAGCTTCGTGGTCGGCGTGGACGTCTTGGAGTGACTGTTCTAACTACTGTGGCCCAGGAAAGAGCAGTCGTACCAGGCAGTGTACTGGGATAGGAACATGTCCTGGCTCAGGGAGAGAGGAGAGAGATTGTAATAATGGAGCGTGCGGTAAGCTAGGGATCCACACAGAACGGATGGGAAATATCAAAGATAATGATTATTGATTAGCTTATTGGGTATCGCCGGTTTAATCATCAAAAACATTTAGAAAGAAAAGGGTTCAAAATTATATCAGTGTGAAAGTTATTCATGCAAACGATGTTTGAAAGGCACTCTATCTGCTTTCTTTGTCTAGGCGTCTAATATTTGCATGTATATTGAAAAGGGCCTAAAACAGTCAGTGGCGCCGAAGTCTATAAGTTAACAAAATGCACATTGCAAAAGCTGAAGTGATACAAGTTTGAGGTATAGAAAAGCACTTTCGAATGTAAGACGGTACTTTGTTTTAAAAGTCGAGTATCATTTATTTATAATATTTTTGTTTTCCTCCCTAGGAGCCTGGACAGCCTGGACATCGTGGTCAAGTTGTTCAGCGTCCTGTGGTCAAGGCAGCACTGGTCGTACTCGTGTATGTTCTGGACTTGGAGAGTGTCCGGGACCGGCAAGTGAAACCAAACAGTGCAGTAACGGACCTTGTGGTGAGTTATTTTCTGATTCTTTCTTATTGTTTCGCGCCAGTTTGACTGGTCCTTACACGTTATCAAGTGTTTTACTCCCTTTCACAGCCCCAAATTACCAGTATCCTATCCCATTTACGTGACTCTTTTATTTAAAAGCCATACTATCAAGTTGCTCATGTCTAAAACTTGAGTGGTACAGATGGTTGGCTCAGTAACTGAAGAGACAAAGTTGATGTTTATTAAAATGTTATGATTCATGTAGACCAAAAAGGAGTTAACAACTTAAAATTTTATATCCTTGTTCTTTACTAATGTTATGAAATTCATATTCAACGTTAGAATGAAAAAGAAAATGTAAAAACAATGCATAATTTCATTCCAGCGTCTTGGTCAGCATGGACAGAGTTTGGTAGCTGTTCAGTGTCGTGTGGTCAAGGGGTCAGTCTGAGGACCAGACAATGTGAGGGTATAGGCACGTGTCCTGGACTGGGGCAAGAAGGGCGTACCTGTAACAATGGCGCCTGTGGTAAGTCACTGTTACCTTATTTATTATGTTGTCAGTTTGAAATGTTGAAGAAGGGGGTGATCTTCACTGAGATAATGCTAAAAACTTAAACACAAAACTTCACTTTTCTGGTTTTACGTTGATCAATGACAGTGAACACAACCCTTAGCAACCATCTTAAAAGCACTGGCACTGGTAAAATCCAAAACACTATTTTTGACGATATGTTTATGTAAACATGTTTATATAGTCGTTCACCTTCCGTCTTGAGAGACGTTGACTGAACCAAAATATAGCAAAGCATATCGGGCTTTGGTGCTCTCAACCGAGTTGCAAGACGGGCAGATTAATAATGTATGGAGCGGTTTTGTTTGTTCTGAAGAGTTCGACTTGTTTGTGACTTGTCATGGCATGGTGTGAGGTTTCTAACTTTTCTGAAAATGTTATACATTATATTATATATGTCTATAGAAAACAAGCGTTTTATTTCAAAATCGTATACACCTGTCTCTATTTTAGCCTTGTGGTCAGCTTGGACGTCGTGGTCAAGCTGTTCAGCGTCTTGTGGTCAAGGTAGTTCTGGAAGAAGCCGAGTATGCTCCGGACTTGGAGAGTGTCCGGGTTCAGCCACTGAAAACAGACCTTGTAGCAATGGACCTTGTGGTGAATAGAATTAGAAACTTTACTCAGTTATTAAAAGATATAATATCATAATTTAGAAAAAGAAGAAAAACATTTGCAGACTTGATAGGCAGAAGAGCAAAGAGAAAACTATTTTATGAAAGCTATAGCACTCAATATTTGGCAGTAATTGGCCATATTACAATATTTATAAGAAAGTTTACAGTTAGCTGTACCTGTAACGTTATATTATTATTAGAAATAGTCAAAAGGGCAAATAGTTAATTAGCTTGTTTAAGATGACACAATATATAACGTCAAAGATGAACATTTGCACAATATTGTAAGTTCATACTGCGCCTCTTTTAAAGTTAAATGGTTTTGTTGTAGCCTCATGGACAGCTTGGACAGGATTCAGTGCCTGCTCTCTGACCTGTGGTCAAGGCAGTAGTAGACGAACACGGCAGTGTATTGGTATAGGAACATGTCCAGGGGCAGAATTTGAGGATAAGACCTGTAACAATGGGCCTTGTGGTAAGGCAAACGTTCCCTGTTATTATCAGTTAAGATATTTAAATGATTTTGTTTACAAAAACATCATTACAAAGCCGCCATGATGAATTTGACTGCCAGTTTGCAACATTCGTTCTAACGATCATGTCGTAATTGTTTAATTGTTTTATTTTCTTGTTATAGCCGCCTGGTCTGCCTGGACATCGTGGAGCAGTTGTTCAGCGTCCTGTGGTCAAGGCAGGACTGGACGTACTCGTGTATGTTCTGGACTTGGAGAGTGTCCGGGAGCAGCAAGTGAGACCAAACAGTGCAGTAACGGGCCTTGTGGTTAGTATGATGACGTATGAGGTTCAAAGGTTCACTTTTATGGATTGTATCTGTTAAATTAGTATTGTATTACACTGTTTTGAAACAAATGCAGTTCTTTCATGATAAAAAACTAATATAACCAAGGATAATAAGATAATGGAATTGGTGGACAAAATTAATGAAAACATTAAGAACAAACACCAATGTAACAAGAAAGTTTACGTGAGCGCTTAAAGACATGCGTGCAGATAATGTAAAAGAAAATGTTAAGTATTTCTCCAAATCATTTTACTTTCTGCTGTCAAATTTATTGTTGAACCTTGTGCCATTTGTGAAAATTGTCACTGTTAATTTCAGCGTCTTGGTCTGCCTGGACAGCGTTCAGCGCTTGCTCACTAACTTGTGGTCAAGGTACCAGCAGAAGAACACGACAGTGTATCGGTATAGGAACATGTCCGGGAGCTCAATTTGAAGATCAGACCTGTAACAACGGACCTTGTGGTGAGTTATCCTTTGCAAAACTTATTCGTTTGGGCATTACAAAATACCAACCCTTAAACATTGTTGTTTGTTCAATGTGTTATATTTTCGTGTTTTTTCCAAGTTCTCGTTTTTTGGTAGCATACCACCTTGTTGCATGAAACCTTGAACTTCTCCGTTTCTGTAATACTGAGTGGTCACATCACAGTGGCACTTCTTTAATGTACAGTTGCCTGGCTAGTAACTATTGTTATTAAAATATCAAGACAGACAAGTGTGTATCAAGAACTATGTAAAATTGAGAAGCCGCCTTATTAACTTCATATAATATTCCTTGTCAAAAAAAAAAAAAAAAAAAACAAGAAAAAATAGATATATACACATTATTATTATTATTTCAGCTGGTTGGTCAGCCTGGACGTCGTGGTCGAGCTGTTCAGCGTCCTGTGGTCAAGGTTCCTCTGTCCGTACTCGTGTATGTTCTGGACTGGGAGAGTGTCCAGGACTGGCAAGAGAAACCAGGCTGTGTACTAACGGCCCGTGTGGTAAGAGTCGAAGACTCAAGTCTGCTTAAAACTGTGCCACTTTATTAAATTCACCTCTCTTGAGTATTAAATTTAGTTTTTTGGAATTATGTGAGACGTTAACTATCGGCAGCTGCTTTCCTCACGCAAGATTTTTTTCAGCCGCATCTTGCAAAATGATCAGTACTGACCAAACCTGCTGAATTAAAAGCTCTGGTCACTAATTCAAAATCACCTCCTGTTCTAGCGTCTTGGTCAGCTTGGACAGCGTTTGGAAGCTGTTCGGTCACGTGCGGCCCTGGGCGTAGCAGACGTACCAGACAGTGCACTGGTATTGGTCAGTGTCCAGGGGATGGAGTTGAAGACCGGGCCTGTAATAACGGAGCTTGTGGTGAGTTCTCTTTTCAGGTCGCTGGTTACGGAGCTTTTAAAGGGACATGCAAAAGAAAAAAAATCAACTTTCGAAAGCAATGATTATTACGATCTAACGCAATCGTTGCGAGGGAACGCAATGATTTTTGCTTTCGAATGCAATCTTAATCTTTCACTCCAAGACGGTGACAGCCTCGTCTTGGTGTTACGATTGCGTTCGAACGTAAAAAAATTGCGTTCCTTGAAAAGATTGAATATTTTTTGCATGTCCCTTTAAAAGCTCCGTAGCTGGTAGAGGTTGAGTTTTAGAACATTCAGTCCGTGTAATAATTGGTATTTCTAATTGTTCAGCTGTCTGTTTGAAGGCTCTCAACATCTGTCTTTCTGTCTGTCTGTCCACCCTGAAGACATTGCTAAGCTAAACCTTTTCTCAATTGATATATTTTTCTTAGGCGCCTGGTCAGCCTGGACATCGTGGTCAAGCTGCTCAGCGTCCTGTGGTCAAGGCAGCACTGGACGTACTCGTGTATGTTCTGGACTTGGAGAGTGTCCAGGAGCAGCTCGCGAGACCAAACAGTGCAGTAATGGACCTTGTGGTATGTCATTACTTTTTTCACTGGCGTTGGTAATCTTCACGGTTAACCACAGTTGTTTGGTAATGTAAATGTACATATTAATGTAAATCGTTTAAAGATAACGTACATTTTGCCATGAAGCTTGAATACCAAGACTTTGTTTTATCAATTTCAGCGTCTTGGTCTGCATGGACAGCATTTGGCGCTTGCTCATTAACTTGTGGTCAAGGTACCAGCAGAAGAACACGGCAGTGTATCGGTATAGGAACATGTCCGGGAGCTCAGTTTGAAGATCAGACCTGTAATAACGGACCTTGTGGTAAGGGAAATTTTCCACATGAACCGTGATTACCAACCATCTTTTGAAAATAAAATGTTAACGAAGAAAGTGTTGACTGATAATTTGCATAACCTTTTCAAACCATTTTCAGCCGGATGGTCAGCCTGGACATCGTGGAGCAGCTGTTCAGCGTCCTGTGGTCAAGGCAGCACTGGACGTACTCGTGTATGTTCTGGACTTGGAGAGTGTCCAGGAGCAGCAAGTGAACTCAAACAGTGCAGTAACGGACCTTGTGGTACGCCATATACTTTTTCAATTAATTTTAAAAGCTTTATACTTCACAAAGGCTTACAGCTGTTTGTAAATGTCAGTGGCTTAAATAGTGCATTTTACCATGAGTACGCTTTAATTTCAATTACTTTACAATTTCAGCGTCTTGGTCTGCTTGGACAGCGTTCGGAGCTTGCTCATTAACTTGTGGTCAAGGTACCAGCAGAAGAAAACGGCAGTGTATCGGTATAGGAACATGTCCAGGAGCTGGGGTTGAGGATCAAGCCTGTAATAACGGACCTTGTGGTAAGGGAAATGTTCCTCCTCAATCATCATTAAAATCTTTTGAAAATATCAAATGTTCATGTCACCATGATAGTGTTGAAAAAAATGTCCATATTCTTTTTTGAACTGTTTTGCAGCCGGATGGTCGGCCTGGACATCGTGGTCAAGCTGTTCAGCGTCTTGTGGTCAAGGCAGCACTGGACGTACTCGTGTATGTTCTGGACTTGGAGAGTGTCCAGGAGCAGCAAATGAAAACAAACCTTGTAGCAACGGACCCTGTGGTACGCCATGCGCCGTTTCCCTTATGTTGAAAAACTATATTTGATGTACCATTGTTGTAACCTACCCTCTACCAGGGCCGCAGTTATTGTTGTGGACATGTTTTGCTGAGAGCCAAAATGAATGTCTATTTATCTATAGATATATCTGTAAATATCTGTGGAAAATCAATCTGTCGCCCTGGTAGAGGGAAGTTGTAACCTCCGTCAAGGCGGTTTTGTTGTTGGTTTCGTTACTTTGTTAGTGTGTCTGTCTTTAAGCAACATTATGCCAACTAATTGGCAGATTATGATGAAACTTTCAGTATATTTTAGGTTTAGGAATACTATGGGCTAACTTAAAAGTGATTATATTTCAATAATGATCCTTTTATCAATTAATGTTTAATTATTATATAATTATTTGTCATGGCAGGTGTCTGTGCTCGTTCAATGCTTTTTTAGTTTCTAAATGTATGTGGTCCAAAATAGTGTACATCGTGTAAAGAAAACGTGCATCATACCACGACGGCGCTTGAATTCCAAGAACTTCTTTGCAATTTCAGCGTCTTGGTCTGCGTGGACAGCGTTTAGCGCATGCTCACTAACTTGTGGTCAAGGTATCAGCAGAAGAACACGGCAGTGTATCGGTATAGGAACATGTCCGGGAGCTCAATTTGAAGACCAGGCCTGTAACAACGGACCTTGTGGTAAGGACATCAATAACACAACATGCCACTACATTTGATTCTGGTTCTTTTTCATAATATAACATAAGTTAATTTAAAAACGGTCTTGCAACATCTTATGAATATAAATGATTTAATTAAGTATTTACTATCGATATTTTTATTAGCTGGATGGTCGGCCTGGACATCGTGGAGCAGTTGTTCAGCGTCCTGTGGTCAAGGCAGCACTGGACGTACTCGTGTATGTTCTGGACTTGGAGAGTGTCCAGGACCAGCAAGTGAAACCAAACAGTGCAGCAACGGACCTTGTGGTGAGTTGGTTGTTTTACATTGGATAGAATTTTAAAGTCTCTATTTATGATGCTGCAGGCTGTGTTTTCACTTACTCGTGTATATTTCCCAATGTTATTTGATTTCTTGTAAACTTTTATCCCAGCTACATGGTCGGCCTGGACATCGTGGAGCAGTTGTTCAGCATCCTGTGGTCAGGGAGCAGTCAGCAGAACACGCCAGTGTCAGGGCATAGGTAACTGTCCTGGCGTGGCCAGGGAAAGCAGGGATTGTAATATCGGACCCTGTGGTAAGTTTCTGTTGTCGGGGTATTATGTATAGCCATTGCTGAATTCATATAAAATGTAGATTGGTGAAATAGTTGTCATTATCAGTCGATTTCTGCTATTAAATGACAACAGGAATACATCGGTGCAAAGACGGAAATCCATAGCAAAATTTTTTTCCATCGTGTTTTGCAAACAGTTCAACAGTATATTCACAACAGCTCTTCAAGCTACAAATTACTAAAACAAGAAACATGAAACCTTTCAGATGATACAAAATGAGTATAATAAATATTAAGAACCATATTTTACAAGTATATATATTGCTCTTGGAATTGGAGAGACTTAAAGTGTTCTACTTAATTTTCAGCCATGTGGACGGCGTGGTCAGAGTTTGGCGCATGCTCAGCTCCTTGTGGTCAAGGGTCCAGTATACGGACACGTCAATGTCAAGGCTTAGGGACGTGTCCAGGAGGAGCAGTTGAAGCACGGGACTGCAACAACGGACCTTGTGGTGAGTGTTAATCGTGACAGCGTTATTGTGTTAGACGTGACAGTCTTATTGTGTTAGATGTGACGATGTTATTTTGGAAAGTGTTACTCAGATTGAGCTGACCTGATAATGCCAAGAAAGAAAAACGAGGCATATTTAATTTTTGAAGCCTGAATAATTTATAAAATCATTGCGTTAGGGTTGAAAATGATTGTTGTACATTGCTTTAAAAATTGGCAGTGGCACTATGAAAAACAATGTAGTATGCAAAAAATATATTGTAGTTAGATCTCCAGATGTTGCTGTTGATTCAACAGCAGATATGAATCATTTCAGCGTCGTGGGGAGCCTGGACGGCGTGGTCCAGCTGTTCAGCCACCTGTGATCAGGGTACGCAGAGGAGGTCACGTGACTGCTCGGGACTGGGCGTCTGCGAGGGCTCTGGCACAGAGACTCAAGCGTGCACAGTCGGACCATGTGGTACGTCATGAGGTTATGGTGTATCAGTAGCGTAATAGTAAAGACGCACCATGTTATTTCTAAACTTAAAATATACTGAAAGACTACAGGTAAATGATGAAATCGCTCCCCTGTTATCTTTGTGAAGTTTTGAATTCCAAGTTCCTACCTCTTTCATATGTTACGGAATGAATGCAAAGAGAATGTGCAGAGATTATGAATATTTTTCGTTTAAGTAGAGTACATTCGAAATTAGATGTCATCCAAATTATGTTTTTTTTTGTATAAATTTAGATCCATAAAATCTTGGATAAGAAAGCAACTTTCTCCCTTTCAGCACGACTGCGAAGAGCAAATTGTTTTGTCTTAATAATAATAATAATAATAATAATAATAATAATAATAATAATAATAATGGTTTCAGCTACCTGGGGAGAGTGGAGTGCGTGGAGTAGCTGTTCAACGACATGTGGTACGGGAACACACACCCGAACACGGTCTTGTGAAGGTTTATTGATGTTTGGAGAATGCACGGGGATGGCGATACAGGACGAGGATTGCAGTGTTGGGCCTTGTGGTACGTCATGATACAAAATTTTCATGTTGATTTTCAAACTCGTTTATTTGAAAAGTAACCATCATAAATACCCATGCAGGTTTTTTTTTTTATTAAAATACCTCGTTTTCAAAATTATTTCAACAAGACCAACTACATTTTGCGCCAGCCCAAGGTGCTAATAATTTCATTGTAGACCATTTATTGTGAAAGATCGTCACACTGATTAGATATGCAACCTAAATTTTTAACAGTTTTATCAGGTTTTCAATAACATAAAATTCTGTTAACCAGAACAACACCTGCAGCATGTAGTACAATTTTGCTGTTATTTCACGCGACAACATCGGTGGAGAATTGCATAATTATATGTATGCCCCTTTAGCAAAGCAGGGTGAGAAACTAGGAAAATGCTCAATTATAATTTTTTGTGTACGTCCACATATTTCAGCTTCGTGGACGGAGTGGTCGTCGTGGAGCAGCTGCTCGGCCTCGTGTGGGGAGCAAGGGGCCAGCATCAGGAACCGTCGCTGTGAAGGCTTAGGACGGTGTTTCGGCAGACCGAGCGAGGGTCGCTTCTGTAATAACGGACCTTGTGGTGAGTCTGAGATGGTTCAATCAACCAATCAAATAATCAGTCAATCAATAAATCGATCAATCATCAAATCAATAAATCTATCAAACCGATAGTTCTAGACCTCTAAAATGAAACATAACGCTTTGCTTACAAAAACATAATGGCGTATGCCTTGAAACAATAGATGCTTTAAATTTGTGGACTCTTTACCAAAATTGTCAGTTTCAGATAATTGATCAACTGTCAGTCCTAATTTATTTTGTGAAACCTGTCTCCACTCCTACGTCATAAACGGTATTATAACTGCCACGTGTTATTCCAGCCCAGTGGTCAGAATGGTCAGGGTGGAGTGCCTGCTCCACGTCATGCGGTGACGGGTTAGAGTCACGCACGCGCACGTGCTCTGGGTATGGTACGTGTCCAGGGCTGGGCCAGATGGACAGAGCCTGTAACAACGGTGCCTGTGGTGAGTACGAACTAGGAGACTTTTTTCTTGTTCATGTGCCGTCACCGATGCGGTGTATGTTGATACTTTGGCTTAGGTTTCTGTTTCTCGCCATTGACCAAAGGTGTCTTGTTAGAATTTCGAAATTGTCAAGGAAGATTTTTTCGTTGTCTGCCTTGGGCACATTTGCCTGGTATTTTAACATTAAGACAAAGATTTTCTTGGAGACTTAACCAATGCTTAAATGGTTCAAGATGTAAGCAGTACATAATCATCTTTTAAAATCCAACTGCAAGAAATGATGATGATGATGATCATGATGATGGTAATATTGATAATAATACTTATAATTATTTTTTGCTGTTGCTGTTGTTGCTGGATTTGTTTTGGGTGGTGATAATCCTCAAACCCGTTTTTTCTAATTCAGCCACCTATGGACCGTGGTCGGAGTGGTCTCCCTGTACACAGACATGTGGCAGTGGTGGCACACAGCAGAGAGGACGGCTATGTTACGGTGTAGGGGAGTGTCTGGAACCCACGGTGGAAACACAGTCCTGCAACACTGATAGACCCTGTCGTAAGTTTTAAGATTTTCATTTATTTTACTGTAGTGAGGGGGTAGGAGAAAAAAGAAAGAAAGAAACAGAGAGAGAGAGAGAGAGAGAGAGAGGGGGGGGAACGAGTTGAAGAAACCTATAATTTATGTTACGATGTTATTCTTGTGATTTCAAACAGAATTTTACAATGATGGTCAGAGTTGAGCTGTTTGAATACTTTCCAATTCAACTACTTCATTTCAAAATTTTACATTTCATGAACGTTGTTCATTTCAGCCGAATGGTCGCCATGGGGACCGTGGAGCCCGTGCCCAGTCACGTGTGGTAACAGCACGGTCACGCGACTGAGGTCGTGTCTTCACGGGGGAGCCGAGGGAGTCGACTGTCCTGGCTACAGTTTCTCCTACAAACCATGCATTGAGAAAGATTGTAAGTTTATGTGTGGAAATTCTAATTACAAAAGCATTGACGAACGTATTTTTCACTGTCAGTTACATTTTTCTATGAAAGAGAAAAAGTTGAATGATACTAAATTTTATGAGAAACGAAACGCCGGGATGCAATCAATGGTTCACTTCGTAAAAGCCAAGTGGTGCAAAGGCAATCGAAAAAGAAAACATATTTTAAAGGGGTATTTTAATAGATACCCTTATAATGTGTGTTAAGAACTTTAAAGTTCTAAACAGAGTAGAGAAATGATGAAATGCACGTAATAAACACTGTAAATGATGACAGGGAAATTTCTTGTCGTATATTTCGCGCCATGAATTCCGCGTACAGTCTCTTTAAACCAACCCGAGGAGAGTTTCTGGACATTCTTTCTGTTTTCAGCATACCTCTGTTGTTTCCAATTCCATTAAACTATAATATAACACGTTCTTCTTACTTAATCCAGGTTACGTGTACACGGCCTGGGTCAACCTAGACCACCCGTTCACCCAGGGGACCACGGGCCCCGGGGATCAGACGAATCCCGTGGGGGCCGGGGACTACGAGGTGTATCAGAACGCGGTATGTACTCTAATAGTCCTTATGGATAATTATACGACAGTGATAATAAGAATAATAATAATTGATAGTCCTTATGAATAATTATACGTCAGTGATAATAATAATAATAATAATAATAATAATAATAATAATAATAATAATAATAATAATAATTTAATGACGATAATAATAATAAACAACAACATAATAATAATTATTTTCGTCAAGAGACTGATTTAGATTGTACTTTACAAAGTAGTAATCACCCCCTTCCCTTTCAGACCTCCCGCTGCGGAGGCCGGCCAGTTCGAGGGCCAGAATGTCGAGACTCGGTGAGCAAGAAGAACTGGAATGAAGTGGGTATACCGAACACGACCGACATCTTCCCTCTACAGTGTAACTTCAGGGGTGATCTGCCGTTCGGTATAATATGCCTCAACGAACCTTCCATACGGGCCACGGGCAGGGCCTGTCCCGATTTTGAGGTCCGAATTAAGTGCCTGAATGTGTAGGGCCAATGGGGCCTGGTTAACGTTCCTACCCCCTCCAAGGAAGAGGGAAGGGGGGGGGGGGACGTTGACCAGGGCGAGTTTTCATGTGATTTTATTTGTTATCTGAAAAAGTGGGCGTTTCCAGCACCTGCCGATTATTTTAAAATGGGCGTGGTTGCAATCATTTCCCAATAATAATAAAAGTGGGCGTGACCACTAAGTTTAATCTCCAATTTTAAGTCAGAGATTTACTTGAGGAATTATCTCCAGAAAAATATCGACTCACATTTGTCATTTAGGCTGCTTGCTCCTTCGTGTACGTTTCTATCAAATGTCTGAAAAGACTTGAAATATTACAGTTATCATCTCTAAGTAATAAGACGTATTTAAAGATGGGCATGGCACTTTTTCACAGCCATGTCAATGTCTTTCCGAAGCGGGCAAGCTGTCTTTATCAGAGTTCCAATTATAGAGTACGAGTCGGGAAGTATTCGGTTAATTTGAGACCACCTTTAGTCTGAGGAAAAGTCTCTCTCCTATATCGTATTTTATACTGTTTGGTCTTGGCTGATATATACTCGTTCAGACCATTATAAAGTTTAATTTGTCTAGATCCAAGACTAAGCTAAGATTCAGTGCGTGTCATCACTGACGTCATGCAAGACTAAAATACAATGTGTGTGGGTGGTTGGATGTGATCACCTCAGAGTTCAGTTCATTTTTGGAAGTTACGACATTCTAACGAGTCTTAAAGCGTAATAACAGTATACTCCGCATAACTCAGCAGCTTTCAACTCGATTTATCGCCATCTTGAACAAACTTTGTTTAAGTCCGTTTTCTTTTTTGCTCCAAGCTGAAACTTGTGATCAGCTCGAAGGTTTGTCGAACATATTTTCGGATCCTTAAGTGTGGGAGTTATGCAGAATCTACTGTTACAGTATAAGAAATGCAACAAATTGAGCTTCGTGCTTCATTCTTGCCAGTGCCGAGTCCATGCACACTAAAGGTGAAAGTTCGGCTACATATGTTTAAATCTGAAATTCATCCTACATCCAGTGTGCGCCAGTTCTGAAGCTTGGATTATAATGTGCGACTTATGTCAGCATATCACTGGCAATGGTGAGCGCAGACAAAACTTTTCATGTTTCATATTTTCAAGACTCTACCATAGAATAGGCCGACTATTTATCATTTTAGTGTAAAAATTATTTTAGAAATCCGTCTGTCTCAGGAGAAGAGTAGTAGTGTATATTTCAGTAGTACATATTCCAAGATTTACTTCGTATGGTCCCGAATGTTTTTATCGAATAATTGTGTAAAAATAATTGTTTTAAAAAGCACCATGTAGAAATCAGCTGATATTTCTTAAATAAGGAGAATCTATACTGAACTATTATCAATCACATGTTAATCAGCGAAAACCTTTATTTTTGTTGTATATCAAATATTTTGTCTCTCACGCGGCTGTCAGTATGAGGACTTGTAATATCAGAGGTGTATCATTTAGAGCGGCTCTCCTTTAGAGAAGGAATACTTTTTGATTTTGTTCATTAATTGTTAAATATTCATTTTTTTCTTTTAAGTGGGATGTGGGGGCCAGGGGTATTTATGATAATGTCTCATTCTTCATATAATTTATGAAAAATAGATGTATGAATTAAGTTTTATTGTTGCTTTATTTCTTTCCATGGCACATTCTCAGGTAAACACTCATGGCAGTGCTTCGTTATATTAGAAAATCTGGTGGCAAATTTTTGATGATTTCAAGGAACCTGCATCTTACATTAAAATTTCTGGCACGGAAGAAATAACACTAACAGCAATAAAATAAAGAAATATATTGTGATTAACTCCCAACTGAGATATACACTGCCAAAAATTCATAATATCTTTGAAAATCTGAGAAGTTTTCACCAGTCATTTAACATTAAAAGTTATAAATGAAAGGAATAATAAGATAAGCATAAGCAGCTGAAGCATTTTCTTTCTTTGCCCACTCCATTTGCAAAGCTTGCGTCAGTCTCATTTTTAATTCATATTTTCAAAACTTTTCATCCTAATTTATACATAAGTAAATAAAATGACATTAAAGATGATTAGATAATTTGATTTTATAAAGGAAATACCTGCCACCTGAATTGAAGACAATAAGTCAGTTTTCTGAGCTTTATACACAAATAACAACAAATGCAAAGAAAAAAAATTCTTCAAAACAATGCTGGTATTTAAAGTAAGCTTGTCATCTTACAGGCTGATTACCCTACAGTAATGAAATATGGCACAAATTCATACATCTTGTCACCCGAAATTGCACAAAATACCAGTCGATAACAGCACCAATATTCTTCAATTATAACAATAGTCGACGTTTTCAAATGTATGAAAACTGGTCCAATTAATATTATTTGTGCCTCGTTTGGCAATTTGTAAGTTCTTAATTTGGGTCAAAGTCATAGACTTAACTGCATGTTATTAATACTACCCTCTTCTTAGGTGGGGGTAAGGGGATGAAGAGGGTGGGGGTAGGGTGAAATGGACTCCTTGTGACGAACCCATACATCTTGATAAATGTACTAATGATTTGATGCTTTATTATCACACTGTATTACCACAGTGAATCTTTATAGCCTTTGTACTGAAGTTTATGTTCTGCCTGTCTCAGTCCCAATATCACCCCCTTTGGGGGTGGGGGTTGGGTTACCCAGAAGGGGGACTGGAGGCGGGGGGTTGGGGTGGGGGGGGGACAGGGTAGAATGTACTCATTTCACTCAGTTATACCTAAAGACAACTCAGTGTAATACAAGTCTATGGCTGTGGCAATGTCATGGTTGGCTCTCTGCACATAAGTCTTGGCCTTGGCGCTGTCAGATATATTGGTGATCACGAGGAACTCCTTGATCAGATTATTCAGGACTAAGTCAACTGGGTCCTCCTCAGGCTCTGGGCTGGGTACAGGTGGCGGAAGTCCCTGGAAAAGTGACTGGAAGTTCCCTCTTGGAGCTGGCACTGTACTGGTGGTGGTGGAACTGGTGGCGGAAGGACCAGTGGCTGTTGTTGAACTTGGGGCTGAATCAGAAAGAGAAATTAGTAGAATATGAAGGGTTATCTGCTCAGCAAGTGCTTTACTGATCTAGAAAAATGAGCAAAGTAGGCCTATAATGCTTCACACCATAATAGATGTGGGTAATTCAAGACTCACATGTGGTGCACTATTTATTTGTAAGCAAGTGGTGGCAACTTGGCATATGTGACGCATTCTCTCTTGCTTTGCACTGCATGTCACATACCCTGCAGATATGTACTGTATGTATTACAGCACAAAGGATATCACTTAGAACCTCTTCACATCCAGTTTTCTGTCCCACACTATGTTGAATGGCCATTTTACTCTCTTTCACATGGCCAATCAAATTGAATTTGGTTATCTGACCATGTTGAGCACAGGGGCTCCTTTTCAGTGGCTCTCTCAAGTAAAAGCTTCGGCTATTTAGCTGTCAATCTAACAAACTGGTGCGATACAGAAAACTTTATTACTTAAAGAGAGAGGGATCCAAGTGCTTACTCACCTGAGGAGCTTTGCTGGAACACCTGTAACCCTGCTTTGCCGTACGTCTTCTCAAATGCTTCAAGCAACTTATCTGTCCGTTCTTTATCCTTGCCACTAGCTTTGTTAGCCTGCAGTTATTAAAAAAAAAAAACATCATAAACCTGACAGATAAATTGTGCTTCTTATATGTGTTTGTTTGTATGCGTATATGTAATTCCTTAATGGCAAAGAAAAAAATCATTGGACTCTGTGAAACTAACAAATTCAAGTTTTACTAAGATGCATAACCTAAACAAGAAGTGTTTAACATGGCAAAACATCATCACCNAGAGAGAGAGAGAGAGAGAGAGAGAGAGAGAGAGAGAGAGGGGAACGAGTTGAAGAAACCTATAATTTATGTTACGATGTTATTCTTGTGATTTCAAACAGAAATTTACAATGATGGTCAGAGTTGAGCTGTTTGAATACTTTCCAATTCAACTACTTCATTTTAAAATTTTACATTTCATGAACGTTGTTCATTTCAGCCGAATGGTCGCCATGGGGACCGTGGAGCCCGTGCCCAGTCACGTGTGGTAACAGTACGGTCACGCGACTGAGGTCGTGTCTTCACGGGGGAGCCGAGGGAGTCGACTGTCCTGGCTACAGTTTCTCCTACAAACCATGCATTGAGAAAGATTGTAAGTTTATGTGTGGAAATTCTAATTACAAAAGCATTGACGAACTTTTTTTCACTGTCAGTTACATTTTTCTATGAAAGAGAAAAAGTTGAATGATACTAAATTTTATGAGAAACGAAACGCCGGGATGCAATCAATGGTTCACTTCGTAAAAGCCAAGTGGTGCAAAGGCAATCGAAAAAGAAAACATATTTTAAAGGGATATTTTAATAGATACCCTTATAATGTGTGTTAAGAACTTTAAAGTTTTAAACAGAGTAGAGAAATGATGAAATGCACGTAATAAACACTGTAAATGATGACAGGGAAATTTCTTGTCGTATATTTCGCGCCATGAATTCCGCGTACAGTCTCTTTAAACCAACCCGAGGAGAGTTTCTGGACATTCTTTCTGTTTTCAGCATACCTCTTTTTTTCCACTTCCTTTAAACTATAATTAACTCGTTCTTCTTACTTAATCCAGGTTACGTGTACACGGCCTGGATCAACCTAGACCACCCGTTCACCCAGGGGACCACGGGCCCCGGGGATCAAACGAATCCCGTGGGGGCCGGAGACTACGAGGTGTATCAAAACGCGGTACGTATTCTAATAGTCCTTATGGATAATTATACGACAGTGATAATAATAATAATAATTTTCGTCAAGAGATCGACTTACCCCTTAGATTGTACTTTACAAAGTAATAATCACCCCCTTCCCTTTCAGACCTCCCGCTGCGGAGGCCGACCGGTTCGAGGGCCAGAATGTCGAGACTCGGTGAGCAAGAAGAACTGGAATGAAGTGGGCATACCGAACACGACTGACATCTTCCCTCTACAGTGTAACTTCAGGGGTGATCTGCCGTTCGGTATTATATGCCTCAACGAACCTTCCATACGGGCCACGGGAAGGGCCTGCCCCGATTTCGAGGTCCGAATAAAGTGCCTGAATGTGTAAGGCCAATGGGGCCTTGGAGAACGTTCCTTCCTTCTCGTCCAAGGAAGAGGGAGGGGGGGCGTTGACCAGGGCGAGTTTTCATATGTGATTTTATTTGTTGTCTTAAAAAGTGGGCGTTTCCAGCACCTGCCGATTATTTCAAAATGGGCGTGGTTGCGATAATTTCCCAATAATAATAAAAGTGGGCGTGACCAATAAGTAAAATCTCCAATTTTAAGACAGATATTTACTTGAGGAATTATCTCCAGAAAAATACCGACTCACTTTTGTCATTTAGGCTGCTTGCTCCTTCGTTTGCGTTTCCATTGAATGTCTGACAAGACTTGAAATATTACAGTTGTCATCTCTACGTAATAAGAAGTAAATAAGATAAGATAAGATGGGCGTGGCTCTTTTTGGCAGCCGTACCAATGTCTTTCCGAAGCGGGCAAGTTGTCTTCACCGGAGTTCTAATTATGGAGTATGAGTAAAGGAGTATTCGGTGAATTTGAGACCCAATTCATAGTCCAAGACCACACAATATAAAATAAACCGAGTCGTATTTTATACTGTGTTGTCTTGGCTGACATACACGCTTAAGACTCGTTCAGACCAGTATAAAATTTGTCTAGATCCGAGACTAAGCTAAGATTCATCACTGACATCAAGACTAAAATACAATGTGTGTGGGTGGTTGGATGCTATCCCCTAAGAGTTTAGTTCATTCCTGGAAGTTTCCACATCCCAACGAGTCTTAAAGCGTAATAACAGTATACTCCGTATAATTCGGCAACTTTTTCACTCGAGTTATCGCTTATCTCGAACAAACTTTGTTGAAAATCTGTTTTCTTCTTTGTTTTAAATTGAAACTTGTGATCAACTCGGGAGGTTTGTCGAACATATTTTCGGATCCTTAAGTGTGGGAGTTATGCAGAATCTACTGTTACGGTATAAAAAAATGCAACAAATTGAGCTTCGTGCCTCATTCTTGCCAGTGCCGAGTCCATGCACATTAAAGGTGAAAGTTCCGCTACATATGTTTAAATCTGAAATTCATCCTACATCCAGTGTGCGCCAGTTCTGAAGCTTGGATTATAATGTGCGACTTATGTCAGCATATCACTGGCAATGGTGAGCGCATACAAAACTTTTCATGTTTCATATTTTCAAGACTCTACCATAGAATAGGCTGACTATTTATCATTTTAGTGTAAAAATGGTTTTAGAAATCCGTCTGTCTCAGGAGAAGAGTAGTAGTGTATATTTAAGTAGTACATATTCCAAGATTTACTTCGTATGGTCCCGAATGTTTTTATCGAATAATTGTGTAAAAATGGTTGTTTAAAAAAGCACCATGTAGAAATCAGCTGATATTTCTTAAATAAGGAGAATCTATACCGATCTATTATCAATCATATGTTAATCAGCGAAGACCTTTATTTTTGTTGTATATCAAATATTTCGTCTCTACGCGCGGCTGTCAGTATGAGGACTTCTAATATCAGAGGTGTATCATTTACTGCGGCTCTCGTTTAGAGAGGGAATACTTGTTGATTTTGTTCATTAATTGTTAAGTATTCGTTTTTTTTTCTTTTAAGTGGGATGTGGGGGCCAGGGGTATTTATGATAATGTCTCATTCTTCATATAATTTATGAAAAATAGATGTATGAATTAAGTTTTGGTTGTTGTTGTTGTTGCTTTGTTTCTTTCCATGATACTGACGGCACATTCTCAGGTAAATATCCCTGTCAGAACTATGTCATATTACAAGATCTGGTGGCGAATTTTTGACGATTTCAAGGAAACTTCATCTTCCATTAAAATTTTGAACACGGGGAAAAAATAACACTAACAGCAATAAAATAAAGAAATATATGCATTGTGATTAACTCCCAACTGAGATATACACTGCCAAAAATTCATAGTATCACTGAAAATCTGAGAAGTTATCACCAGTCATTTAACATTAAAAGTTATAAATGAAAGGAATAATATGATAAGCAAAAGCAGTTGAAGCATTTTCTTTCTTTGCTCACTCCTTTCCAAAGTTTGCACTATTCTGATTTCAATTCATATTTTCAAAACTTTTCAACCTAATTTAGAAATAAGTAAATAAAATGACATTAAAGATGATTAGATAATTTGATTTTGTAAAGAAAATACCTGCCACCTGAATTGAAAACTTGTTTTCTGAGCTTCATACACAAATAACAAATGCAAAGAAAAAAATCTGCAGAATATCTGAATAAGAATAACCACCTTCTAAAATGTTCTATTGTGGATTCTTCAAAACAATGCTGGCATTCAAGTAAGATTATCATCTTACAGGCTGATCACTCTACAGTCATAAAATATGGCACAAATTCATACATCTTGTCACCGGAAATTGCACAAAATACCAGTCAATAACAGCACCAATATTCTTCAATCATAACAATAGTCAATGTTTTCAAATATATGAAAATTGGCCAAAATAGGTCCAATTAATATTATTTGTGCCTCGTTTGGCAATTAATATAAGTTCTTAATTTGGGTCAAAGTCACAGTCTTAACTGCATGTGATTAATATTACCCTCTTCTTCGGTGGGGGTGAGGGGATGAAAGGGGTGGGGGTAGGGGGAAATGGACTCCTTGTGACAAGCCCATACATCTTGATAAATGTACTAAACGATGTGATGCATTATTTTCACACTGTATTACCACAGTGAATCTAAGAGCCTTTGTATCCAATATAACCCCTTTTTGGGTAGGGGTAGGGGTTGGGTTACCAAGAAGAGGGGCTGTCGGCGGGGTTTGGGGGGCGGGGGGGGGGCGGGATAGAATGTACTCATTTCACTCAGTTATATGAGAACTCAGTATAATACAAGTTTATGGCTTCGGCAATGTCATGGTTGGCTCTCTGCACATAGGTCTTGGCCTTGGTGCTGTCAGATATATTGGTGACCTGGAGGAACTCCTTGATCAGATTATTCAGGACTAAGTCAACTGGGTCCTCTTCAGGCTCTGGGCTGGGTACAGGTGGTGGAAGTTCCTGGAATACTGACTGGAAGTTCCCTCGTAAACCCGGCACTGTAGTGGTGGAGCTGGTGGTGGAAGGACCAGTGGCTGTTGTTGAACTTGGGGCTGAATCAGAAAGAGATATTAGTAGAATATGAAGGGTTATCTGCTCAGCAAGTGCTTTACTGATCTAGAAAAATGAGCAAAGTAGGCCTATAATGCTTCACACCATAATAGATGTGGGGAATTCAAGACTCACATGTGGTGCACTATTTATTTGTTAGCAAGTGGTGGCAACTTGGCATATGTGACGCATTCTCTCTTGCTTTGCACTGCATGTCACATACCCTGCAGATATGTACTGTATGTATTACAGCACAAAGGATATCACTTAGAACCTCTTCACATCCAGTTTTCTGTCCCACACTATGTTGAATGGTCATTTTACTCTCTTTCACATGGCCAATCAAATTGAATTTGGTTATCTGACCATGTTGAGCACAGGGGCTCCTTTTCAGTGGCTCTCTCAAGTAAAAGCTTCAGCTATTTAGCTGTCAATCTAACAAACTGGTGCGATACAGAAAACTTTATTACTTAAAGAGAGAGGGATCCAAGTGCTTACTCACCTGAGGAGCTTTGCTGGAACACCTGTAACCCTGCTTTGCCGTACGTCTTCTCAAATGCTTCAAGCAACTTATCTGTCCGTTCTTTATCCTTGCCACTAGCTTTGTTAGCCTGCAGTTATTAAAAAAAAAAACATCATAAACCTGACAGATAAATTGTGCTTCTTATATGTGTTTGTTTGTATGCGTATATGTAATTCCTTAATGGCAAAGAAAAAAATCATTGGACTCTGTGAAACTAACAAATTCAAGTTTTACTAAGATGCATAACCTAAACAAGAAGTGTTTAACATGGCAAAACATCATCAACTTCTTCTTCTTCAGGTCTTCTGTCCTGAATAATCAGGTTCATATTTAAGTAATGGTTTTATCGATGTATTGATTTCACTGTAAACTAACTATCTTCTACAAGGGACGAGAGTACTTGTGACAATTTACTGTAGATAATAGTTATCAATTATTACTGGAGAGAGTAAAAATTACCAATAACGTCTGATGTAACAAAGCTAGCTGCTTTTGGTGGCTATCAGATGCCTGAAAAATAAATAAACAAACAGATGTTTTTTTTTTTTTTTAATTTACAAGATTGGAACATTAATGGGGTCAAGGTCGCTATCAAAGAGGGAAGTTCAAAAGGAAAGTGGCTCTCTACTTTGCGGCAAATTTCATGTGATATGTAGATCCAGAGACCCTAAAAATCGGCATTGATGATCATGAATGTTGAAAGAAACCAGAGGTGCTAAAAATCTGAGACTCCAAAGTTGGCAAGTATGTTTTTTTGACTATCTTTGTTAAAACTGAAAGCTGGACATAAGCATAATGGAGTCTCAGTGAGAAGTGAACAGTACTCAGATCTACTCAGTTACCATCCAGCCTTTGGCTATAAACACCTGGTTAGAACAGACATCCACATAACAAGAGAGTGGTAATTAACCAATCAAAGTTATAAGGGTACCATTGCATTGTGTGAGAAGACTATGGCATCTAAGCATAGTAAAGCAGAAAATAGAACAATGTCCAGGTTCTTCACATGTGACAGTGAGAAAGCAAACAATAAATCACACACAACAGGTGGGAAGCCAAAAAGACCACATTCGGAGGTGGCCAACTCAAGCTCTGATGAAATACAATTACTAATGAATGAACTATCTGAAATAAAAAGTGAAACTATTAATAAACCACAGCCTTGACAATACACTAAAGTCAAGGCAACCCGGCTATGAACTCATCCATGTAGTGTCCTAGTCCAAAGTACACTCAGAGACATAGTGTCTTCCTTCAGTGCTTGGTCTGAATCAAAATTCACAAGTCAAAGATAATGTCTATAGGTAATTGGAAAGAATTGTGCAATAACTGCAAACATTGCCATTACTCTGACTGGACTAGTAACAATTAACTAGAATGAAAACAAATTCAGAACAAGTCGATTCATAGACTAACAAATTCACAGACTAAATATGGCTGACTCTGTTGTTAGCCATCCAGTAGAAAAGGAATGATAAATATGAACAAATGAAATCTGATCCTAGAACTTACATTTAGCCACTGACAGACGTTGCAGTCTCAACCTATCACGACCTGGATGAACTGGTCACCTGATCTAATGCCATACGGCTAGGAATAGTCTCCTACATGAGACTGCAATGTTGGCCAGTTGCTAAATTAAGTCCCAGTGACAGTGTTATTCATGTATATCAAGACCATCTTTACTTACAGCTACAGACTGTGCTGCAGCTTGCTCCTGGAGTCTCTTTCTACGTACCTCTCTCCTAACCTCCTCTAGTCTTTGTTGATGACTGTCAACTGAAAAAATAATAACATATTAATCAAATGGATCAGCAGAATAAGCACGGAGTGTAATCACTGATCAGGATAAATAAACCTCCAGCATATAAGAGCACATAGATCTAATCCTGAATCTCTTTGACAGTGCCTGCTTTTTAAATTCTAAAAATTGCTTCACTGCTACAAAACAAAAAAGTACAGCATTAAAACTTGGCAATTTTAACCAATAAATGACGCAGAAATTAAATGAAAATCCTTCAGAAAATACCTGCAACAGGAGCTTCATCATTGTTTTCACTTCTCTCTGGCTTTGGAGGTCGTCTTCGCCTTCTTTTCTTAGAATCAACAACTCCTTTTCTCTCAGTTTGCTCATCACTCCTTGAAAAATAATGACCACTGTTATCGTCACCATCATAATTCACTTCGAGATGCACTCCACGCCCACCATCACTGTCATAGTTTACTTCTGGGTTCAAGTCTGAATCATCATCATTATCCCCATTTGCTGACCCTGGTGACCTTGACCTACTTCCAAACGACCTTGGCCTTTCTCTATGCCTTGCTGGGGGTCTACGTGTATTGGTGAATTCTTCCCCATAATTCTCAGCAAGCCACCTAACCTCTGGGTTTACATCATTGTCTGCTTCTCCGCCATCTTCACCGCTGAGATTTCCAGAGCTGTTGCTGGAAGTCCTGTTCAGCGTCCTTTCAGACTGGACATTATGGAATGATCTAGATGGCTGCCCTGTGGTCACTCTGTTGCTGACCGCTGGAGATGACTGACTGTGAGCCAATGAAGGCTTGTAAGTGATGATGTACTCCACCAGCAGACGTCGGTTTTCGTAGATCACAAATTCGTTGTAGTCACGAGGGCATCCCTGAAACAGGAGAACGAAAGGAGAGTTCCTCTGGCTGATTTTGAATCAAAGTTATAAATGATGTCTCACAATGGCAAAAATCATCAGTTTAGGAACAAAATTTCTGCTATCTTGTTGAAAAATTCTCTAGGTTTTAAAATGCAATGGGATTAAATTAAAATAAAGGCTGAAAATAAACTTTGATACTTTATTTGACATTTTAAATTATATAAATATTCACCAATGACTTAAATTATTACTAGAAAATTTTAGTAAACTTTCATTAGGCCATGGAAGGGTTTAACTAAGCGACCGATAACTATATTGTGACTGAACAAGAAAATGGACTGGATTATAATTTAAAAGTTAATGGTTTTTTTTAACATTGTCAAAAGTTCAGTTATTTGTTTACAAGTTATTTATCATAGAGATTAAAATGGACCTTTTAAAATAATATGGAAAATGCAAATGCTGAAGGTGCATAGCCTTACAAAGGAGGTTTATGGGGGTGTTTGCTTAAATAAAACCACCAAAATGCCCAGATTTCTGAGTTAATCCAGAAGAACAAGTTTACTTTGCTTACTACCTGTCGCCTTTTTTTTTTTACTTGGAACAGACCAAGTGGGCTGAAAAGTTGAAGACACATTGATTAATTTTGTGTCTATCCATACCTTAACAGAATCGTAATACTTCCAGTGTCCCCTGGGGTTTTCTTTCGCAGGTTCTCTCAGTAAACTAAGATCCCTCTGGCCTTTTGGGTATACCTGAAATAGACGCTTAGCTTGTGATGGAACCCCTGGTTTATAACGAATGTACTGGATTCCACATGTTATCAACCAAGGAGTGCTTTCACTTTTTAGATAAAGATTTAGATTTAGATAAACCATAAAATGCTACGTACATACATGGACATAGTAATTGCAATTTATAAAATGGATATTCTTAAATTCTGTTATTTTCTCTTACAGACCTTCATATCACCTAGCAGCACCCGGCACTTTAGTATATAGGGCTGTCCACTCTCTAGACTACTGCTTTGACCACTAGAGTACCTCAGGCACTTCAACGGGTTGTCACTGCAGACAAAATATGACATTCAGGCAAGTTTTGCACTGGCCCAGTTTACCTCCCTTGCTAATACTCATTTTTAAATGTGAGAAAAAAATTTACAAGAAAGAAAGAAAGAAAGAAAAATGAAATATAAACGAAGTAATTTTTCCAACTTTTCCCATAAACACTTATCTTGTTCAAGTAGACTAGGGGAGTTTATCTAAAAAAGATACTTTTACCAATGGAGGGGCATGCTGAGGCAGTTCCAGTTATACTTTCTGACAACCCATACTCCATTTTTGACCATCTTCTGACAGAAAAAATGAGATGCCATGATTGTAAGCTCAAAAACTTCTGTCATTCTTTCCGAAGACCAAGAAGCTGCCCCTGACCTGTACTCACCTGAAATATGTGCCCTTTCCAAAATGCCCTTTCCTGCTGAGCCTGAAGTCCAGTCCCTCCTCACACATCTGACATCTGTCCACTGTGGTCCCGTGGTACAGGTAACGCTCGTTGAGCTCAAATTCTGGAAAAAAATGAAAAAGATCATGACATATTTAGATGACGTGTCTAGTGCAGGTAACACATTCAACTTGAAACATGAAATATCCATCCACGATTAAAACTGAACCATAATAAGATATTAATTATATTTGTGTGTATGAGTGTGATGAGTGTAAGCACAAGAAGTGTCCTGGCAATTATGTGGGCTGCCAAATTAGATATGTATACTCTGATATATACAGCTGATAACTGCTAAACAAAACTTAATATTTTGTGGAAGGGCTCTATTCCAAGGGATCACCAAAATAATAGTTTGAAATTCAAAACACAAAACTTCAGTGTAAGATTAAATTCATTCTGTTTGACCCGTCAGTGTAATCAGCTTTTAAAATTGTCTGGCATTCCCCTCACAAAGCAACATGAACGACATCATGGGCCACAAGGTTTTCCCGACTTTACCTCAAAATTATAAGTTACAAGGAGGCGTGGCAGACATTCAAGCTGCTTGAACTGAAATCAATTTAGCAAGAATCCCCGAGGAGTTAGATGGATCCAGCTACTATGATAGGGTTATGGGAATGCTCTCTCAGTCTAATGTGCTTACCTTCGGGTCTCCTCTCACTCATATGTTCCATCTCAGTCTTATATTTCAGCAGCAATCTCCAGTTCTGGACTCTCTCCACACTGACCACCTCAATACCAACACGCCCAAACTCCTCTCTGATCTTCTGGCACTCATAGTTATCGTCAGGAAGTTTAAATAATTTGTAAGAGGTCTCAGAACTATCAGTGCCCTTGTCCACCATTCTGTCCCAATTAACTGGCAGACCAGTGGAGGTGCTTAATGGGAAAGGTTTCAAGAGGGGTTCAAAATCAGCACTGTCGTGATTGGCTGTTGCCATGGTCACAGGATACCTCGTTGTCCTGGCAACAGAAGGTCTTGATGTTTGTGACTGGCTGGAAGACTGCTGATATTGAGAAAACTGACTGGCTGCTGATATGGATGGTGCGTAATAATGCTGTTGCTCACTTTCTGGTGAAATGTTTTGTAGAGAACTTGTCCTTTCCTCTTCTTTTATAAAACCAGAATTTGCACTTGTGTATATATCTTCTTCTTTGCTCTCTACCTGACCTGGTAAGTCTTCGTTACTGCAAAGATTAAAGTCTGGGTTATAAGCACCATATGTATTTTCCGGATTTGACTCAATTACCCATTCTACTTCCTCCTCATCACTGCCACTGTGATGAAGAACAGGAAAATCCTCACTAAAATCAACATTCTGGGCCTCGTTTTCATCCAGCGAATGAGGAGCTGAACCTTCACAACTGCTGGGCTGTGATTCGGTTTCAGAATCTCCAGCATGTGTAGGATATTCTGCTTCATAATCACCAGTGTGAAAAGGATATTCTGTATCAGAATCTTCAGTGTGTGTGGGACATTTTGCTTCATAATCACCAGCGTGAAAGGGATATTCTGTATCAGAATCTTCAGTGTGCGGGCTCTGGAAATACATATATTCAAGCAAATTTGCAAAGCCAAGCTTGTGAAGCCATAGGATTCTAAGCGTGCAGGAAAAAAAAATAATCAAAAGCATAAATAATCATGATAATATAGATGCATAAAAACATTATTTATTCAACAGTTATTTTAAAAACATTATATCTCTAGGCAAAAGAAAAAAGGCAACAGATATGTTATAATGTTTCTGATCTGGTCTCTAAGTCTAAATTCTGCAATGTATAATCTACATATAAACTCTATCTTTGGAGAAGATTTCTTCAGTTATTACAATAACAGAGGCCTTTTTCACAAAAGAAAAACAACATTTGACAGGATCTTTTTATCAACTTCCCCTGATATTATAAAACAGTCAGAAGTGGACTACTATGCTGATGTATTTGGCACAGCAGGCTGTATAGTATAAAAATCAAGTCCAACTTTTTGTCTGATGTCCCTTGTGAAATCAGCCTCAGTTCATAGTGAAAACAGTTTAACAGATTGCAATTTACTGGTCAAACCTCTTACCTGACTCTCCAGCATACTCATAGCAAGTGCTGTCTGAAGCTGAATATCTTCCATGTCATCTGTGGTTAATTGAAAGTTGGCCAAGCTAAAGTCTCTCTCATCATTCCCTGTGTTCATGATGACTGGCCAGAACCTGCAACATATAAACATGAAAAATAATCCAGTCACACTGGTTTTACGTCTATATTATAATGCTATGAATCAGTCCTAAGCACGCTCGGCTGTCACCTTGATTGGATAGTAAACGATTGTCGTAATATCACTAAATGATTTTAGAAACGGGTGCATAAACTTGAAAACCACCTAGAACAACCTTAGACTGCCATATTAATCCAATACAATGCAAAAATAAACTATAACGCTTGAGTCGGTCCTCTCTAACCTCCCATTACACCGGGCTAACGAAAAAGAAGCCATGCCATTGGACAGGTATTTGTAATGCTACCTCTGCGGTTTGTGGAGAGGACCGACTCAAGTGTCAAAGCGGAAATTTGGATTTACAGTTTGATTGTGCATATGCCATGCACGGAATTAACAAACGAGCGACGGGATGATGTAGCCTGCGGCATTTGCGGTAAGCGTGTCAAGTTTTAGGCTGCTCCGATGCCCGGCAGTATTTTATTTTGATTATTATGTTTAATTTTGTGGAATCTTGTTTCACAAGCTTACTCTATTTTATTGTCTCTATGGAGGTATATGGGGACTTTACGACATTCGGCTTGAAGGCTTTAACCACTTGTTATAGTTTATTTTTGCATTGTATTGGATTAATGTGGCAGTCTAAGGTTGTTCTAGGTGGTTTTCAAGTTTGTGCACCCGTTTCTAAAATCATTTAGTGATATTACGACAATCGTTTACCATCCAATCAAGGTGACAGCCGAGCATGGTCCTAAGCATAATAAGTACAATGCTATGAATCAGTCTTAAGCATAATAAGTACATAAATTTTGTTTACTGGTAACATACATCGTAGAAATCATAACTTTTTCAAAGGTTCATTGGTCTGAAGGTTCCATAATGAACATTCAGACCAATGGACCTCTGGACTTTTGCTACAACCCCGACATAAAGGCAATCCCTCTTAAGTCTTGTCCACCATATCTGGCTCCACCTCCAAAACTTGTGGGGACAGTCAGCACCTCTCCTTCCTGCATACGCCTCTGTCCTACATGGATTGAGGAGCTAACAAGTTCATTGGATATAGAAAAAGGAAAGGATTGCTGGATACGAAAGAGAAAACTGACTGCACTACAGTACACTGTACAGACTAGCAAAACTTGTCTACACCATTTTCTGCCTTAAGATTGCAGTCCCCTGTCAGGACTGTCAAGAGTGGCATCGAGATGTTGAGCCAACATACAATTACAATCAGAAAAAGAACTTACAAACTTTACCAAGAGTTTCCTCTGCGTTTGTTTCTTATAACTTCAACTTCGGTTTTTTGGTCACACTGCTTTGGTTTCAAGGAAGTCACATTATTGCTTTCGATCTCTCTAGGAGTAGAAATGTTTCGAGGTGTTTGATTGGCCAATAATTTCCGCGGGAACCAACCACGAGTAACTTTGCACTCAGACCTCGCACCTGTCACGGATTCTCGGGATTCCCAGCGACAAATATTGCGATTTTTTAAGTTTAAGTAAGGAGGAATATTCTTATTTATAGTCTTCACACTGCTCCGAAGATTTGCATGCGATCAGTGCAAGCCGGAGAGGAGTTTGAATATTTTCTTTAATTTTGCTGGGTGCATGTGAATGACGTCACAACCTTCATCGACAACAAAGTTGAGAGACGAGAAATAGAAATTTTGACGACGGAAAAAACACGCCTTTGCTTCCACATCTGGGCAATCGCGCTCCACGGAAGCGAGTTGAGACTTCAAAGTCTTACTTCGTAGGAAATTGGCCAACTTTAACTCGACAGAAGTGGTGAAAGGACGAGTTGAAAATGAGTGTTCAGTCTGGCGGTAGTGGTTCTGCGACGCCATCTTGGGCAGTAAATTCGGGTGCTCCTCCTCGAAAAGCCCAAAATCAACCCAAGTCGCCGGCGAGAGACGGTAAGATCTATATTATACATAGAAGACGCAATTTGCTTTATTTTGATGTAAAAATATTCATGTTTAATATGTAGGATAGGGAGAGAATGTGGGTGTTTTCCCGTCGTTATTTGCCACATGTCTGATTTCCCGAGCGAAATCTGCAACAAAACTCCATCCCATAATACGAGTTTCTATTTTTGGCTTTCCGCCCCGGTTTTGACCTAATTGTCAATGACCTAGTTTTATAAATGATCAACAGCCATGTGGTGTCGTGGAAATTTCCTATAATCATTGTGTAAGAAGTTAGTTGCCCGTAGAAATTGCTCCGTGAATTTAGTTATTTGCTGAATTGCTCGTTCAAAATGTTTGTCACACTTTGTAATTCAAGTAGACATGTTTGTTGACATTGTTATTGCACTTAACTCAATTACATAATTGTGTTGTTAAATTGGTAAACAAACCCCTAAAGAGATAGGAAATGACTTTAGTACAGTCCTTGTTGATTATAATGTTAAGTTTAGAATAAATAACAAATGGGGTTCCATACAAGTTTGCAAATATTTATGGAAATAGATAATGATATAGGAAGAAAAGTTAATAATGTACAGACCGTCCTTGCATCCTAAATGAGAAATGCACATCATTATTTCAAAGTATTTGCATGCTTACCCTTATCAAACCTACACAATTACTTTTGTATACAGTGCCCTTCTAAGCGCAAAGGTGGATTATGATTTAATGATGTGTGTACATATTTATTTACATTCAAAATGTTCAGGATGTATCTAGATTAGAAATTCAGACTTAAGTGTTTTAATTATCAGCTGAGCTCATAAAGAATTCAGATATATGGTCCATAGTGGAGTGTTTTAGTCTTTTAGTGGATGACATTCAGCGCAATGAAAAACATTTCGATGGTAGAATCAGACAGTAGATCCTTGATTGTCATTCTTATTTGCTTATTCCTTTTGGGGTAAAAAAGCGAATTCATCTTTTAATTCTTTCTTTTTGTTTTTTGTTTAAATGCATTATTTGTAATTTTCTTTTTCATCAAGGACAGCATATATTATAGTGCTTCTAGCAATTTTCCTCCTTTTTTCTAAATAAACTATGTTTAAAAAAAGTGAATTCGGCAGTTACCACCATGTAATTGACGAAATCTAGATTGATTGACATATATTGATTGACAGACTGATTAGTTGGTTGATTTACAGATGTATCCTCAGATGTTTAGGTATGCTGCTTAAGAGAAGCTTCTAGAAGTTAAGGAGTCTTGAAATAAAAGTTTGTATTTTTGTTGAAGTAGATTCCTTTTGACATTAGTTTTCTCAAAATTATTTGAGCTTGAGTGTGATGCTGCAGTTACCAGTTTTCTAAGAACTACGAATTTAAAACACCTTAATTTGCATATAAATAGTTTGAAGATTTTTCAATTTTGGTTACTTTAATTTTGTGGAAATTGCAATTCTAACATATAGAATCCACCCCCCACATCATTTGAGAAATCCACATCATTTGAGAAATTTTGAATAGTGTGTTTTTGTACAAGACATTTTGAGAATAAATGACGTGTCAAATTTGTTTAAATTCAGGGAGTATATTCAACAGTTTCACATGTTGAATCATAAGATAATGTTTTATCAAACATTTAAGCATGGCAAACATTAAAACTTTGCCTTGACATCATTGTATATAATAATAGATAGCGTGTTGCCGTGATATGTATATATCTGTTAAAATTAACTGTACAGATTATTGTGATAGAAATAAGATAATGAATTTGAAATGTTAGAATTGATCAGTTGTTTTGTCTTGGTTGTTATTCTGATATTTTGTGCAAATTTCATTATAGCTGCCTGGGTGAAGGTTTCCAGGAGTATGCCTGATTTCAGGATTCTCATTCTTAGTTTTGATAGTTGTTATGAATTATCATATGGCTTAAATTCTATGAGAAATATCCCCCCTAGGTAGGCAAGATCTTCAATACAGATTGTAATGACCTGGGCCCGGTTGCACCAACAGGGCGTAAATCTACTCGGCTACGACTGTCGTAAACCGCAACGCCTGGCGTCCGTGCGCCAGATTTACTCTCCCTGCTTACGCCTGTTGCACCAAGACAAAAACTGATGGTCGCAACTACGCCCGAGTAACGCTCCGTTGCGTCACTGGCCAACAATACGTGAATGGGCAAATGAGGAGTTCTCAGCTGCAGTCATAATGGAATGATGACATAAATAAACACAAAATGAGCATTTCAGAGACGGAGATATTCATAAGCTACATTATTCCACTTTGATTTAGAAATAAGAACGTGAAAATACGTTAACTTTGCTGTTGCCTTGGATATATAGCAATAAAATCGTAAATATATTCCGAATCAAAATATTATTTTAGTATGCTACTATAGTATGCTGTTGTAAATGAGAAAAACGCGTTGGAGGCAGTACACATTTCTGTTAATAGATTTGAACACCTTCACATTTGTTATTGAAACTTTTGAGTCTGAAAATAATGCAAAAACGCCAACATTGCTCTCTTTTTATATTTTTACAACAGTGCCGACAATTTCATGACCTTCTTATCTATGGTTACGCCGTGAGAGATCATTTAATTCAATCGAGCTTACATCTTGGAGATTAAGAAATACAAGAGACCTAATACACGTTATATGAGCCTTAAAATGTTGATTTTTTAAGCTTTTGTCTCTAAGTTTATATATAGTAAAATATAAATGATATAAAATGTGAAGAAAGAATGACTATAGTTAGTTATGGTTTGTCAAAAATTGTGAAAAGAAAAAGAATTAAAGAAACCGTACTGCTGAGAGCCAAGACGTACCTACATGAGTGGTAAGATTCATACAATGTATTTAGTAATCACACTCACACACACACACACACACACACACACACACACACACACACACACATATATATATATATATATATATATATATATATATATATATATAGTTTTTCAAAAATCAAGCTATACAGACGGAAGATTTGAGTAAGAAAGTAACAAATATCAACCCACATTTTCTACGTTAACTACGATAATTGTCATCAAACTCTCTCTGTGCTTGCCTATAGCCACAGTGGAAAACGAGCTACGACCGACTTACACCACCTAGCTGGCAGGCGTAAATTTACGACTTAGTTAAGACCGACGTAAACACTATTCTAGTTTGGTGCAACTGGCTTTACTCGGGCGTAGCGATTTGCGCCCAGTTTACGCCGGCGCAACTGCTACGCCTCACTTACGACCGGTTGGTGCAACCGGGCCCAGGCGTCTAACTCATAAATATAACGCACATTATTGCACTTATTGTAAAGCCTAGTAAACATATTTGAAATTTAGACTTAAAATAAATATATAACCATATAGTATATTATTATTATTAATTATTAAGAAATTACAAGCTTCATTGTCAAGATTTTCGGTTTTTACAAGTTTCACCCATTTTGCTGTTGACATGCAGTGCTGATGCCTTCAAGTTGACAGATGCAAAGTGGTAGAACATTGAGCTAGATATTGTGGAAAATGATTGAAATGATTGATTACATCTTTGGTGAAGGCCTGTATTGATATTTGTATAAATTGAAGTGTCCAGATAATCAGTTTCTTTTTCACATAGATTTAAAATATCATTTAATGCATGGGGGACTTCCATGTTAATATGAGGTTATTAAAAATGCTTAGATACAGAGATTTGATCAGTGATTTGCCTGAGATTGATTGCTGTACTGTGCTGAGGACCAAGAGAATTCAAACACTTTTCGCTATCAGAAATCATTGGAAACAAATTGCAATGAACTTATAACTTATTAGTGTGGATTAAGACATTAATGTTGTGTTTCCAGTCATTATGATGACTGAACGTAGCACATTCTCACCTAGCTGACTTTGTAATCTAGTTATCATAAATAGCCAGTATACATTGCTGTCCTGTACGTTTCCATTGTAATTGAAATATCCTGTTAGTTCATCGCTCTATGGAAAATGATTGTAATTATACATTTAGTGTTAAGACTGATGACTAAATTAGTTAATTGTAATTATACATTTAGTGTTAAGACTGATGACTAAATTAGTAAATTAAAAGGTAGCTCGACTGGAAATGCAGCCTAACATAGACACAGCATGGGGTTGATGTATAAAGTCTTAGGCCCCATTCAGAATAGGGGACTAACTAGTCTGAGGGTCAAATATGGCCGACCCCCTTGAATACTTTCCCATGGGATATCTATTCAGTGTCTTTAGATGGCAAGCTTTGTAGTGGGTCGCTTTGACCCTTGGGCTAGTAAGTCCCGTATTCTGAATGGTGCCTTAGTCTTCACTGTTGAAGGCAAAAGCCGAGGCAGTTACCCACCTTAAGAGGCACTGGGCAGGTAAAGAAAAAGTTGAAAATTTATATAACTCTAGCCCACTTTTAGACCCCAACTGCCTGGAGGCTATCAGCCCAATTTATTCTTGGCACATATTAAAAACAGGCTTCATTACATATTATATCACTAAAACCTTCACAACTGGGTTGTGAATGAGACTTCAGGATACTGTCAGGTGTTATAATGAAACTGGAGTAAACGCAACTTGTGAAAATTGCCAGGTGAGGTGGTAGTATTTATTATGGGACATTGGACATTGTAATGGCATGGCAGGCTAACTGCTTGGTATGTGGACTGCATACAGATAGTTACTGTAATACATGGCCTGGCTGTCACATGGCTATCAGCACCCTGTGTTTTCGAGGGCTCTGTGATCAGCATGGCTCTGGTTTTTAAGTACTAGTAGTGAAATTACCTTAGGGCCCATGAACAGCATGCACATACCATTTCCAGTGGTGGCAAGTTGATAATAGTGATGGATATCAAGTAATCTGTGATACTCGGGGTAGTAATCAGAGACTCGATGTGGCAGTGAGATATTCAGGGTACGGTATTGTGCCAAGCATTTCGACGGGCCCAGTCAATCCGACCACAAAAATTATTTTATAAAATTAATTTTTCTGGGCTCAAACAATTAGTCCATACGTCAAAATCATGGGACAGAATTTTTTTCTTGTTCCGATTGTTCGACCACATCGTCGACAAGACTTGGTAAATTTTCAAGCCAGTGTAATAGATGCTGCATGTCTCGGCCCTTTGTCAATTGTTGTCCTTTCAATAGCTCTCGTCAATGAGGAAGAAACAATTATTTGAAGATCTAATCTGGAAGCATGACGTACCTGTCTTTTCCTTTGTCCCCGGTGACAATAATAGTGCTTATAGACAAATTTTGCTATTAAGCAGACTTGCCCTCGCTGACTGATTCATCACGCCCGTAACTGGGGAGGGGGGGGGTTAAAAAAAGGTCTATTCTGGATGAAACCAAATATCGACAGTGGGTAGAATACATCGTAAACACCTTCATATAGACCATATATCTCGTTTGCTAGCAATAAAAAGTTTGGGAAGAATTAGCAATTTATTTTCAAGTTCGATTGAAATATATATGCAGATGGGGAAACGTTCTTGAAGTCAACACCACAAGATCTTACATTTACTACAATCGGCCGAAAGATCAGCGGGATCGACCGCCCAGACTTCTTGGCACCAAATACCACACGCTGTCAAAATCTGACAAACACGTGTCGCTGTTCACCTACATGGATAACTGATTTGTCAACAATAAAAATGACGTCTTCCTTAACTCCATGGGAGCTTCATAGAGAGTTCCACTGGGTATTTACGTTACCTGTGAGTCACTTTCTATTTCCCCAGATGCATGAAATGTTGATAATATTTAGCGTAATCCACGACGAACTTCATTCCTGTGACCCCCTCCCCCAAAATGGGACCGTCTTCATTAACATGTGGTTTGCGCTATGCTGGAGCAGACCAGATAAAACCAGTCTCTCATTGCTGCATGTGCTCAATTCTCACGTCAAATTATAAATGCACCTGTTTTGTGAAAATTATGGCAAGTAAATGCTTTTTTTTACGTTCGGGTTGTATCAGTGGGGTTTTCAATATGCACCGTGGTTTGTGCACAGCGAGAGTATATAAGTAAGAAAATCGGAAGATTGCCAGCAAAATACTGTATGTCTATCGGCACAGGTACGCTCCGTTTTTTGCCTTTTCTCAATATGTTTCTATATGACATGCTTTTTAAATAAAATACTTAATAGTAATTTGAAGTTACACTGATTTCCGTTTGAGTACCAGTTGGTATTCTTTGATACGGGTGATTGAATTTTCTTCGGAAGTACATACGTCTACGCCTCGACGCTGAGCAAACCTTGCGGGTTGAAAACAACTGATCTCAGACTGGTAAAAAATTTCAATTCGGTTGATTTCAGTTGTCATATTAAAATTCAAATAGGGCGTACGTAGATCACACAACTAGTTTAAGTCCACTAAAGCTACCGGTTTCAAATATAAGTGACCGGCCTTTGTTTACAACACCTGTCTCCGGGGAAATACTCGTCCCATTTGTGAAGCCCATCATGAAAGTGATCGTAGGTGAGGGAAATATATGATTAAAAATTATAATTGTCATCTTTTTTAATGTTAAGTAATGTTAGCACATATTTTACACAGCAAAATAAGATTTCAGGAGGATAAAACATGCCTAAAACACATGTTAGGCAAAAATTGCGGCTTATCTTGTGTAACACTTCCGGTAAAATGCAATACTTCCGGAAAGATGGA